GGGGGGGGGGCGAGGCGATGCGCGATTATATAGGGGATGGGAAGGGGGATGAAAGGTGGCGGGGCTGTTTTGGCGGAGTGAAAGGATCTTGTTCTGATGGAAATGAGGAAAAACACCAAAAGCGTCAGTGCCGCCTCATGCAGTCATGCTGTGTAGCATCAAACACGAGGAACCAGGGGGGTGTACTCACCGATCCGGGGTGGGCACTGGGCACGGTGCTGGGAGGGGAATGGATGCACGGCCGGGGGAGGGAAGGTATAGAGGATGGAGAGGAAAGAACGAGATGCATGCAGAGGGAGGTCGATGGCAGCCGGAAATAAGTGAATGCGATGCATCCCATCCAGGGACCAGGGATTCCATCCAGTACCCGTGCCGCCAATTTACGCGCTAAAAAACACACCCCTCCGCTGCCCGAAACGCGCCCAAAACGGCCAAAACGAGCCTTCCCCAGGGGCATCCAACCAATCACCGCGCGCAGATACCCTCGCTCAACATTGGGATTCCAGGGAAAGGGGATCTGGGGATCTGGGATCTCGCTCGGCCCTGCTTGCGAGGTGCGGTGACCCCGCACGGGATAAACGAACAAACAAGCGTGGCTGCGTGGAGGGCCGCTTAGTACGGCGGGGGGCGCCGCCGCGCAGTGTGTGCAGGGGTATTTATATCGATTCGGGGCTATGTATGTATGCAGTCGTGTCGTCACTGGTCAGACCGTCAGATGCGTGTGACGAGGTGTTGTGCGGGTGAGGTATATCGAACACTTTTCTCAAAGACGAACCTTGGCCGTCCCGCATTCCAAGCACCGAGCGTCAAACATTTACGACATCCACCCACCTCTTCTGCCTGAGTGTTGCTTGGCTTTTTGGTGTTACTGATATGTACTCTTCAAACGACGTTGGGAGGCGTGAAAGATGCATATACAAGTCATACACCATGATCGATCCCTCAACCGTGAGAACAACAGACGTGCTCATGCTCTCCCTAGCCTATCTCTCTCTATCATCTCAAAAACAAAACACTCAGTACTCGTGCTCTATAGTACAATTTACAAAACTCAGAGGAGTAGAGGAGTAGAGGAGCTATGCTATCCCTGCGCATCATCGAAATCCTTCAACTCATAATGCACCTTCTTGCGGTCCATAAACCTGAACGCGACGCGCGAGGTCCAGGGCCAGAAGGGGTCGCGGGTGTAGTTGATCCGGAGGGGCTCGTTCTGCCATTCCCATCCACCCATCCACCGACATGCATGTGCGAGGGGGGGCAAGTAAGAGAGGGAAAGGAGGAAGGAGGAGGGGTGGGAGATTTAGTGGTGGGAGGAGGAGGGCATGGGGAGAGGCAGAAAACGTCAGCGTTTGTACACAATGCAGATTATCATCATTGCCGAAAAGCGGCTCCACGCCAAACCCATCAATCCAAGCCCAAGCCGCATGTGACGAGATGGATCATGAAGGCTGAAAAGACGGAAGACGGAAGAAGGAAGAAAGGAAGGAAGGGGCAAAAGAAAGGTAAGAGTTCGGAACCTTCGGGATGCCGATTTGGACTGCTTTTGAGTTTTCTTGGCACCTGGGGCGGAAACGGGCAGGGAGGAGAGGGATTACGACGCCCGGGTGGGAGGGGAAAGGTGGGAAAGTCATTCACGAAAAAGACTTTCGGCATCAGGCCTTTTTTCCGGAAAGGAGAAGTCGTACTACTTCCGACTTTCCGGTAGAGTTTCCGGGTTGAAGCGGCTGGCATGCCGGGGAGTTGGGTGATGGTGGGAAGAAGAGCAAAAAAGACAGGAAGCGAGAGTAGAGACAGAACGGAGGATGAGAGGAGAAAGGAGAAGGAGAAGGAGAAGGAAGAAGGGACGTACGGGGTAGAGGAAGAGGATGAATCCTACGACAGAGGCATAACAGATGCTCCTCGTTATCACAATCAACGAACTAACCCCCATATCAGCTTCTCCACCGACCAAAAAAAGAAAGACCATCAAGAAGAAGAACCCACTCATTCCCAAAAAAGAACCCCTGCTGCAAAGTCGCAAACGCCACAAACCCCATCGTCACCCCGATAGACATACTCGTCATGCGCGGTCCGATGAGCGTGATGGGCGGGAACGGCCAGTGCATGCCCCACCACATGTTGTTGGAGATGGCGACGAGGATGATGGCGGTGCACATGCCGAGGAGGTGGAGGTGCCAGATGGCGAGCCAGATCATGCTTTTATTTTCGTTAGCTTGGGGGTTTGGGGCGGGGGGTGGAGGGAGGGAGGGGAGGAGGGGAGGAGGGACGTACTTGGCGGTAACGCCGTAATACGATTCTTCGCCCAAAACCGCAAAGATGGCAAGACTGCTGCCTTGGTAGTACTGGCACGTACTCCCGTCGGGCCCGCCGCTGTCGGTGCTGTCCCAGGTATCTTGGGCTTGGTCGTATTCTTGGCGGTAGGCGTGCATGTTTGAGGATGCTAGGTCGCTTTTTGGTTTGTTCAGTCAGCATTATGGAGGAATGAGAAGAAGAAGACAAAGAAGAGGAGGAGGGGACATACAAAATACACAACCCAATCCTAACCCCCATCAACCCCAGCGCACAGACCACCGCCACCGCCCGCCTCACATCAAACCACCACCACCCAAAACTCTTCGTCTTTGGCTTCCAATTCGCAATCCCAAAGTAAAACTTGTCCTCGTTCCAGGCCTTGATGATTTCGTCTTGTTCTGCCGAGGTGGGCGGGGGGGAGGAGGGGAGCTGGCCGAGGTGGGCGCGTTCGCGGGCTTGGAGGTCGTCGAGCATGAAGGGGGGCATTTTTTTGGGGCCGCCGTGGATTATTCTTCTTTATTGTCAGCTTGTGGGCCAAGAGGGAGAGAGGGGGGAGGCATACGTCCGACCGATCTTGCCGTGCTGCCACTTGATCTCCTGCGGCGTCTTCTGATACACCTTCTGCACCCTCATATCCACCAACCTCCTATCCCCCCCCTTACTATTCCTCTCCAACCACTCCATCTGCTCCTCCACATCCTCCCTCGGCCGCCTCTCCGCCGGGAAATTCCAATCCCCAATCTTGGCCTGCACCCTTTCGGTCCAGAAATAGCGGTCGAATTGGAAGGGGATGAAATTTTGGCGGTAGTACGGGTCGAGCCACTCGGATTGGGTCCAGGGGCGGAGGGGCTTGCGGCCGATGCGGTAGTCGGTGTGGCGGTAGCCGGAGGTGGTTATGCCGATGGAGGAGGCGAGGGTGCGGAGGACTTGGTAGAGGCCGAAGAGGAAGATGACGGTGAGGAGGAGGTAGCGGAGTTGGATAAAGCTAGCGTGCTGTTTGTTAGTGGGGTAAAGGAGGGGAGGGAGAAGGAGGGTGGGGTGCTTACTCGTTGATACCCCAGTTAGGGCTTGTGGATAGTGTAGCAGAGACGAGGCTATCATTCAACATCAGCCTTCTTACCCTCCTCCCTTCTTACCCTTCTCCCTTCTCGATAGTATTTCGGGCCTTGGGAAAAAGACGTACAACATGATAGTATACCCTATCCCACCCCTAAACCACTGCGGCGCAAAAGCCCCAAAGCGGACGTTGAAAAGCTCGTCCCCGATGAGGCAGATACAGAGGAGGCAGAGGAAACCGTGGTAACATCCGTACCATGCTGACGTCTTGTCAGCTTCTGTTCTCATTCTGGTAAAGCAAGTGGCCGGAGAGGGGCAGGAAGAGGGAGGAAGAGGGGACATACCGAGAGGTTCTTGTAAGTCGCCCCAGTTGGCGATACCTGTCCCGACTATGTAGGCGCACTTGTCGTCGCTTTTGGAATAGTCTGACGGTTCGGCGTCGCCGCCGCTGAGGGCGTCTTGGTACTTTTTCACCTACTTCCTGTCAGCGCTCTCTCTCAGGGAAAGGGGAGTACGAGAGAGAGAGAGAGGGCGACTTGCATTATCCGAAGCGTAATCATGCCACATCATCTCCACCTGAAAGAACAAGATCACCGCCCCACTCAGCACACCACCCACTTGCAGCCCCTGCCTCGTCGTCATATACCAAAACTCTCTAAAATACCCATACATCTCCCACATCCTCCTCTTCAATCCCGGCCCCTTGCCCAGCGGCGCCAGCGCCAAACCAGGGGGATAATCCTTCTCCGGACCGTACCATTCGTATTTACTCTCTGGGTGTTTTGGGTCCGGCGGGGAGCGTTTGGGGAGGAGGGGGCGGGAGCGTTCGCAGAACATGTAGGGGAGGGAGGCTAGGAGGGCGAGGAGGATGAGGATGGTGGAGAGGAGGGGGAGGTAGAGGTAGTAGAGGAGGCGTTCGCCGGGGGAGAGGCGGTACATGGAGAGTTGCCATGGGGTTGGGGAGGGCGGTGGGGGGCTAGAGGGGTCGACCTCGGCGTGCGGTGGGGGGCTGGTTGCGACGCCCATGGTGTGTACTGCTTGAGGTGAGGTTCTTGAGAAGGAAGTGGTGGATGTGAGATGGGAGGAGAGGCGGGAGTCGTCCTTTGTGGACAGGCAAAGGGGAGAGGATAAAGGAGACGAGGATGCGAGCTCTTGAGGCGAGGCTGAGAGGGAGAGTATGCATTGGAGTGTATGCTTTGGGAGTCCTCTATGTATAAGGTGAACAGTGGCAGGATGGAGCGACTCCTCGGAAAAGCAAAGACGATGAAGACGACAGAGGTTGAGCGGCGGCCAGGGCACGTGGATGTAGCGGCTGTGTGTGTTTCAAGGAACAAGCATCAAAACGCCCTTCAGCGGGTGCTCCAGATTTGTAATGCCTCTTTCACCCGTGCACGCTGCCCCAGTCCACGGTGGTATCGTCGTGGAGGCGAGAGGGTACGGCCAGGAAGTGTTGCCGCCTCGCTGGTCGTCTGACGGTCGGTATGACAGGTGAGTCTCCTCCACTTTGGGAACCGCACTGACCTTCTCATAGGCCCATCACTCCCCAATCGCCATTATCTCCGCCACCATCTCCCCCCTTACGAGGTGTCGCAGCTTATGGAGTGAAGCGGCAGGATCGCTACATCTTTAGACCGTGAGTTGCTCTCGATAGACAAGCTACGTGGAAGGTACGCTGACGTTTATTGGTAGCCTCCTCGCGTCAAGTGAAGCGAACCGGTCCCTCGTCACTCCCCTCTCCTCCCTTCCCAAAGGGCGCCCTCTTCCCCGCGGCCGAAGACCTTCTTCTTCCTTCCTATCGGCCCCCCTTTGTCGACTTCTCCTACCGTGGCCCCAGCTCCCTCCTCCCTGGGCTGGCTGGCTCAACACAATTCCTCGCGCCGAACGGTTCGAGTTTTTTTCTTGTCGGCTCCCTCCTCCCCGCGCGGGCTACAAGGCCTTCTCCTTCCCTCCCTTTGTCTTTTTCCGGCTCTCTCCTCCCTGAGCCGGCTGAACACAATTCCTCGCACCGAATGGTCGAGTTTGTGTGTTTTTTTTTCTTCCTTGTCACCGCCTCCATCTTCTCCAGCACCCGTACCACCCACGGCGCCAACAACTGCTTCGACCCCGACCACTCCCATCTCTTCCTTGTCCTCAGAGCCTCGCCTGCCTCCCAGTGCTGGTTTTCCCACACAGGACTATTTGAGGCTTGTGTCGATTGCCAAGAACCACACGAGGCCCCCGCCAGCTCGCCCTCCTCCTTCAACTTTCCTTTACGATGAAATCCTCATTATCAGCGACCACCACAAGATAGACGGTCTCCCTCCCAGGCCCGGCTACTTGGCATTCTCTTACAAAGTGTATACCGGCACCTCTAGCGTTCGGAAGGCGGCCGCAGCATTTCAGAGGAGCCAGTCTACCATCTCAAAGTAAGTGCCACTCATCATGTGGTCCCGATCCGCATTGTACTGACACCAAGTTTACAGGTACTTGCACGAGGTCGTCACCGCCCTTACTAGCACGTCTTTCCACGATCGATGGATCGTGCAGCCGACCTCTGACACCCTCCTCTGAGGGTATCACGAGCTGCAGGTTCCCCACGTCTTTGTAGGTCATGAGGGCAGCGCCAACGACCAGGTAGTGCTGTCGGCGGCACTGGAGAAGGGGTTTGCGATACCGGAGGGAGGGTACTATCTGGCGGAAGCGGGGGATGGGGCTCGCCCCGGGTCTCTCCTTCCTGTCCGACATCGCGGAGATTCATCGCTCTTGGACGTATGTATCCAAAGTTGCCGAGGACTGGCTCGGCCACCAACGTGGGATACATCTCGGACAGGACCATATACATGGCGGGAGAATGTGCCCCGCGTACGGCCACGGCGATCTTGTCTTTATCGACATACGTCGGTTCTCGACAACTCGACCCTCTAAGGAGTTGGACTACAAGAGAGTCGGACCGTTTGAGGTCGAAGAAGCCGTTGGCGCAAACGCCTATCGCATCAAGATTCCTTCTTCCATCAAAATACACCCTGTCTTCCACGTTGTCTAGAAAAAATTGCGAGGTGGGTAGTTTCCATAATGGTGTCTTGAAGCATGCTCACTCTCTTTCACAGTTGAGTTGGAATGACAAGTCTTACCAGGCTTCTTCATTCTTCGATCTTGAACGCTCGTCGTCTGACCACGCCCTATTCCTGCCGATTATGGAAGCCGGTCTCTCATCAATCTCTGTGCATGTCCAGTCATGGGGTGCTCTTCAGAGAGATCTCAATCTAGATACCCACCCGCCCGCCTGCCCCCCCTCCCCGGTCACGGCTCCCTCCTCCCCGGGCCGGCTGAACACAAATCCTCGCACCGAATGGTCGAGTTTGTGTTCTGTTCACTCTTCATTCATCACCGCCCCACCACCATCTCACCCTCCTCTTCCAACCTTCCTCTACGATGAAGTCTTTCTTATCAGCGACTACCACAAGATAGACGGTCTCGGTCTCCCTCCCAGGCCCGGTTACTCGGCATTCTCTTACGAAGTGTATACCGGTCTGTGTGTCCCCCCCCGACATCACGGAGATTCATTGCTCTTGGACGTATCCAAAGTTGTCGAGGGCTGGCTGGGCCATCAACGTGGGATACATTTGGGAATTTCCAGACCGATGTCGTGGGAGGGATTCTGGGGGAGGGGGAGGGGCGGATGAGATGATCCCGCTGACGGCTCTTGCGTTTGTTCAGTCCTGTCACTCAAGACTGAGAGTAAGCTGACAAAACAACAGGCGGCCCAAAAACGAAAAGACCTATACTGTCAAGGATGCTCTGCGCGATAGCCCTCGCTTCCGCAACATGCACGAGAAGTGGTCTTTCCTGAGGGATTGTCTGGCAAGTGGGCTGGGGGAGCGGACCAAGGTGGAGCCTGTAAGTGGTTGACTGTTGTTGCTGCTGTTTGCTGACTCTACAGCCAGTTCAAGTTGGACCCCAACCATCCAAACAAGCGGGCATATCGGCATGCTCCCGGCCATCATCGCCGCCTAGAAATCCCAGATGCGCGCCTTCGTTGTCTCGCTGCGTAAGCAACAGTGGGCGTCCGATGCCGAGAAGAACGAGGTCGAGATGGAGGCGGCCAAGTTTGCCCGGCTGCAGCGACCCGTGTCGGGGGAAGAGACAGGGGAGGAGGTCTCGAGGTCCAGTGTACTCCACAACCTCCAGCAGGCGCTTTGGGAGAAGGAGAGAGCTTTCGGCCGTGAGGCATCAACCACGACACAGCTCAAGCCTACGAGATCAAGACCCAAGGTGGAAGAGTCGGACCAAGCACTCAAGGTCTATGCCAATGACTTGACCCGGGGCTTCGGTTCCGCCACCAGGTAGCCGCCAAACACCGTGCGCAGGTAGCCGATACAACAAACAGGCACCTATGGCACTGGAAGTCTCGGTACCAGTCCACTGGCTCCGTGGTGCATCCCGCCGAGTCCGCACAGGTTGGGCCAGAAGCGCGACTCATTGCCGACAATGCAGAAGAGGGCAAAGTTGTGTACGCCGCCGTCAACAAATTCCTCAAAGCCTACGCGAAATCCATCCCGCCCGGCAACTCTTCTTCTGTCAAGTTCAGCTTCCTCTCAACCAAATACACCAGCACTGGGGTCAGTTTGGGTCCACGCTGTCCGGCCCAGCAGACTCCTTGTCTTCTGCGGAGCGTATATCAAAACTACTATAAGCAGCTCGCTCAAGGGAAGGGTCGTGAAACACCCGTTCTAGGGATTGCAGTTCATGTCTTCCAGCCATTGCAGGTGAGCCTTCCGTCCTCCTCATCCCCTTTCGGTTTGCTTCGCTTCTGTTCGTCGCTTATACGCCATCCAGTCCCCAACCAATCGGCCACGGGAATATGATTTCTCATGAGACAACCAATCAACATAAGAAATCATTGTCGGAGAAAGCAGTCCGAGATTCTCAACTGAGCTACCAAGCGCGATGGAATGCTCATTCTGCAAACACGGTGAATGCGTATGAGATCCCTGTGTCATATGCTCCCTGACATTCAATGGCGACACCGTCTACCGGCTCCCAACCTCGCACCTACAGCACTATCAACGCCGTAACTAGCGACCCAAATCATTGTCGGAGAAAGCAGTCCGAGATTCTCAACTGAGCTACCAAGCGCGATGGAATGCTCATTCTGCAAACACGGTGAATGCGTATGAGATCCCTGTGTCATATGCTCCCTGACATTCAATGGCGACACCGTCTACCGGCTCCCAACCGCGCCCCCACAGCACTATCAACACCGTAACTAGCATTCATGTCTTCCAGCCATTGCAGGTGAGCCTTCCGTCCTCCTCATCCCCTTTCGGTTTGCTTCGCTTCTGTTCGTCGCTTATACGCCATCCAGTCCCCAACCAATCGGCCACGGGAATATGATTTCTCATGAGACAACCAATCAACATAAGAAATCATTGTCGGAGAAAGCAGTCCGAGATTCTCAACTGAGCTACCAAGCGCGATGGAATGCTCATTCTGCAAACACGGTGAATGCGTATGAGATCCCTGTGTCATATGCTCCCTGACATTCAATGGCGACACCGTCTACCGGCTCCCAACCTCGCACCTACAGCATTATCAACGCCGTAACTAGCGACCCTCTGCCCATTCCCGCCCATGACAATTGTCAGGAGCCTGTCCCATGTACGGACAATGAACCAGTATTCAAAGAGACTCTCTGAACAATAACAATCGAGGAGCATGAAGCCCATGTCGCAAACTTTCGGCAACAACGTGAAGATGAAGATATTGAGTGAGAGATTATGGAGGGCTTCGATCCCGTGGAAGATAGCAGACATTGTGAGTGTCTTTCCTGTTTCTGGGACTCGAGCTGACCTTGTGTAGCTGCAAGATGGAACAAGCACAGCCGATCGCAACTCCCATCGGCCAGTCATGATAGAAAGAGCGAATGGGCGCCTTGGGAATCTAAGATGGTGAGTTCTGGACCAGATTGTCTCATATCATCACTCTAATCGTCTTTGAAGATGTGTCTTCTGCACGCACTCGATGGATTTCCTTGGATTAGGTTTACTAGGGTGATCCTGTTGTCACAATCCACAAGGGAAATAAGCGAGCTGCCGACGACGAGGACGACGACGAGGGGCCAAAGGACAACAACATTGGGAATGTGAAGTCCAATACACATGGGCAGCCCCCTGCCAAGAGGGCTAACACATCATATGGTGAGGGCGTTCATCAAGTGCCTCCTTGTGCTTCTTCTTCTTTACAAGACTCCTTCTTGGCTGCTGGTAACTTTTCTGGTGGCCCGCGGGGGTAATTGCTCGACCCCATCACCATGACCCCGGCCTCTGCATTTGGAGGGGACCACAAAGGGCGGTGGTGTCATCCTCATCTTCCTTCAAAACACCAACAAATCAGCTGCCAACACCGCCTCCATCTTCTCCAGCAGCCGTACCACCCACGGCCCCAACAAGTACTTTAACCGCCACCAGTCCCATCCCTTCCTTTTCCCCGGAGCCTCACTTCCCTGCCAGTGCTGGTATTGCCACACAGGACTATTTCAGATTTGCAACGATTGCCAAAAACCACACGAGGCCCCAAACACCAGCTCCCCCTCCCCCCTCAACCTTCCTCTACGATGAAATCCTCCTTATCAGCGACCACCACGAGATAGACGGTCTGCCTCCCAGGCCAAGCCTGTCTGGGGGATCTTGAAGAGGAAGGTTGGGAAGATGCCCAGGCCAAGGAAAAATGATCATCTGGAGAGAATGATCCAGACGGCCTGAGACGAAATGCCCCAAAAACAAATCAATCGCTTGATTGAGCGGCAGCACGAGGTGTATGCAGAGGTGAAGCGAAACAAGGGGTCAAATGGTCAAGTTTTTTCTGCCTGCTTCGGGTTTTTGAGCTCATGGTTTTTTGTCTGGTAAGTGACGAGTGGCACTCATTTTATCCATTGGCTGATCGGCTCGTTATAGATGTTCAACTTGTCTAAGAAATTCGACATCACGATAGTCTCGGAGATGTGGATGATGGACCCCGACTTTTGGCCCTTTCGCTATACACCTGCCCTCAGGAACCCCCTGTACGCTTGTGCATCTCTAACACCCGCCACTCCTCCCTCTCATCTCCCCTGCGCTGGAGCGGTGATGAAACTCTCCCAGCCATCATCTATGTTCACTCTTACATTGCGACCTCGCTACTTCATAGTAAGGGACCTTTCTATCCAACAACCATCCAAAGATGATCTCTGTGAGGCTACAAGGAGGTGAAACGTGTGAAGCAGCGGTTGAGGGGGTAGTCTCTTGAATGAGAGCCGAGCTGGAAGAGGGGTAAGAGCCGTTGTCTCCTACTGTCAATTTCGAATCTGAATCCTTGGTACAGCTCTATCCACACATGGTTCCCCGAAGTCTCCGAATCCAACAACCCCGATTGAAACAAGTTTTTGTCACCATTGAGTTGTTATCGACCCCCAAGCTGCCCGGCGGAGCTGCCATTCACTTGCCCACTGGCATCCGACGCTCCACCAATGGCCATTGGCGTGGCGTGGCAACGAGCAGCTTGTTGATTCCCATGAAGGATTGGGAGGAGTTCCAGCGCGATGAAAATGGGTGAGTTGGGCTGCGACGACATGGTCTTTGCACAGCTGTATATCACTGACAGCCTCGCCTGATCGTACCACCACTGCCTCTACTGGAGCCGTACCGTCTTCAGTCCCCAAGACTCAACCCGTCTGCTCTTATGCCTCTTCCTCGCAGGATCAGAGTCTTTCTCTTCTTGAGGTCATACAGACTGCCATGGCTACTCTTCCCAAGCTGTCGAAGGTAACGACCTTGCAGTCATTTTCGTGGCTACCAACAGTCTTTGCCGTCGTAGACACGGCGCCAGAGGTGGAGCGAGCCTCCTTGATGACAGTGGGGAAGAAGTGGGACGAATTGTGAGGAGGGGAAGACATTATCTGTGCTGAGAAGATTGGCAATGTGTTTGCTAAAATCAAACCGGAGACGGATGGACAGGACTCTGAGATTGGGAGTGGAGAAGATGACAATGACCTCTAGTTCATTGAAAAAAGGTGAGCATTCCAGTCCATGAGTGTGACATGGCTGACAGCGCTGTCGCCTGTCCTCCCTCGCAGCCTACTCAAGATCCCATTGCGTCGTTCCGCCCGCACCTCTCGTCCTTCGCTCAACCGGTCTGTACAACAAGGCCAAGGGAGGGGAGTACCATACGAAGGGGTATGAAGGGCGAGAGGGGCATCCTATCAGCTGGCATGGCACAGAAGAGGTGTGAGAGGCCCAGATCAGTAGGATTACAGGTATACAAAGAGTATGCTCGTGTATGTCTGTTCGTGCAAAGCAAGCGATATGTTGATCACTGATACTTTCTCGCATCTGACGGAGAGATGATTTGACGCGGTCTGGAAGCTGAAGCGGGCAGATCGAAAGAAGAAAGTGGCCGAGCCAATAGCAAGTAACAAGTGCGAGACTCGTCCTATGCTGATACACCTATAGATCGACCCCACACTTTCCAAGATCATCATTCAAGTCATGAAAGGCCAAGGCCACCCCAGCAAAGCCTGCATTCCATTCATCAAAGACCATTCATTAAAGACGCCCTTTCGGAATTCCGATGTTCCCTTCGAACGGTGGCCAAGAGGAACGAACAAAAAAGGGCGGTTTTGAACGACCTAAGCGCTAGGGTATCGGGGCTTGAGAGGTATACTCTGGATGGATCAGGAGAGTGAGCATTACGCGTGGAGAGAGGATAAGGATCTGGACGGGGGGTCCCCGAGTGGAGAAGAGTATGAGGAGGGCATGGACATTCCGGAGGAGGACCCATTTGCAGAAGGGTATACCATACAGTATATTATCTTGAACCCACTATTGATGTACATATAGTGACATTTGGTAACAACATAGCTTTCGAGATTGATGGTCACAACGGCACACAGACGCGGCGAGCACGACTTTGAGAAGAGCTTGAACTTCTTTGCCCTGCAGCATCAAGCGCCATGACCAGATGCACTCCTATCAAAGAGAGAGCGCCAGACGGGCACTAAGGCATCTGAGCTATTGGACAGAACGGCACATGCACTGATATACATCATGCGATGCATACAAAATTGGCCGCGAAAAGTGCGGGTTCGATCGCGGCCAGCCGGTACGTCTCCACTCAGACGACTGATAGCCCTGACTCAGATCTTTCCACCTGTACCCAAATACCGTCCGATGTATCGTGATGCATGCGAATGGTGCGTGGTCAAAGACGAGAGATGGTGAGTTTTCCCGTTGAGCCCCTCTTCCCGTTAAGCCCCAAGGCTTCGGCGGCGGGTCACCGCGCATTGGAATCCGTCAACCTTGGGCCCGGGTACTGCGCGAGCTGAGCTAGTGCACTGCCAAATCACATCGGGACATGCTATCGGGATATCACGGTCAACCATCATCACTCTTCTCCGGGCTTTTACGCCGTCTTGGGAGGATCCAAGATCATTGGATGGACATATCCCTCGCGATCGATCCACCTTGTACCAAGGATCTCGAGAGGGGCTCTATACATCTCGTTGTTGACTTTGTGGTGGTATAATACGACTATTGCTACCTGAGGGAGGGAGGGCGGGGATGATACCATCCATTAACAAAGCAGTCTTACATCCGCTGCCCTTTCCGTGCCAGGCGGCTCACGGCGTGAAGATACGCGGCAAATCATAATTTTTCCCATGCGGATCTTGCTACCGTACAATTCGAACACATTCCTATCGCGGCGGCCTTCTCAGTATTGTGGAGCTAGAAGGGGACGGTCGAGAGAGTCCTTTAAGGGGATGTCGCTTGGCTGTACCGGTGCCACGGGGGTGGGATCAAGGATGATTTGTGTCGGAGATCCAGTCTTTGGGTCACTATCAAAATCGCTGCTGGCTCACACGACCTCCCTGTCATACTGTCCCCGGTACGACCAGGGCTGTCATTGTCATGCTCGCCTTTGGACTCATTAAAGACGCGATGGCGCGAGGCTGTTCAGCAAGCAGCATCTGACACATCCCTGCTCGCTAGCGTAGCTGCCCTCCTCCGTCTTTGCCCCCGCTCTCGTTCTTCTGGTCATGCGAGGTTGGGCTATCACCCCAATAGAGACATGATGTCAAAGAGACTACAAAGCGCTTGCTATTCGTGGAAGAACGAGTGAGTATCATTCAACATGCCACTTCCAGCGCGCGCACTTGACTGACAATCATTTCAGGTGATTCCCGAAAGTTTGCCATTCACGAGCTGTGGAAACTTGTCGACTGGGGACGGGGTAGTTGTTGATATTGGTATGTCTGTTGTCTCGTTTGTGGTCAAGTCGAAGCTTATACTTCTAGCAGCATTAGCCGAGGTCTCGTCAGCTTTATCCTCGCCATCCAAGACCACCCTTTTACCGGCATTTCCCCTCTACCCCACAAGACGTCGCCGTTGCCAATACTTACATCTACACAGCGGCCTATTACTCCTCCAGAAACGATATCGCCTCCCCCACCAACCACGAGCGAGAGCATGCGAAGCTACCTACAATTATGCCCCTACGACATCGAAGAATTCTGGCGGAGAAGAGAATCCCTGGAAGAGAATCTCCTCGAGCTTTCGAAGGTACTCGCTATTGCTCTGGATCATACGCCGATACACCTACCTCCCACCGTTTACGGCACGATCGCTGCAGGCCTGGGTCGCGTCTCTTGCGACAAGCATTCTCGTCCTCTCTGCCGCGTCCATCCGCCCATGACCGCCCCAGTGCCACCAGATATATGTGGCTATTTCATGCCACTCGATACTCGGTCACATACGGCCTGCACCCAACCCTCCAGCTGTCGCCATCTCCCCGCCATCCCATCGCTTCGGAGCCATCCGCAGACCTCGTCCCATTCGGCATGTCCTCGCTTGGCTATATCACCAGTTGAGCGGAGCGAACACGAGAGTCCTAACACTGCTCTTCCACTCTCCTCACTGTCTCTGCCGTCCCCAGCACTTGCCTACGCGAACTGGTTCATGCAGGGGTGAAATCAAAGATATCCAACAATTCGTACAACGTCCCGATCTTCTATGAAAAATGTATTGATGACATATCTATGATCGTTGAAGGACCAGCGGAGAGAGTCTCTGAAATGATAAATGTTTTTTTGCTCAACGGAGATCAGAATCAAATCAATTTCCGCCTCTCGCTCTTGGCCCCATCCCAGCCTCTTATCTTCTGCGGGTCCAATCTCACACTCGTCAAGTGCTGTCCTATACGAAGACCGCCCACTCGTCAGCTGTGGCTCGGGTCCGTGGTGCCAGTACATCTGCACGGGCCGTGCTCCTGGGCAAAACTGGGTTGACAGACTCTTACTTTGGCGTTTTGTTTATTTCTTGAGCTGTGAGTTCTGCATGTAGGATGAGTTGTTGAGCTAGCATTGAAAGTTCTCATGAAGTACGCGTATGGTACTCGGGTCCACTAAGCCTCGCCTTACCCGCAACCCCGGGTCCTGGCTTTCTGACTCGTCCTGCACGTGAGCCATTCCGGTCCAACAGCCCACCCATCCCTTCAGCTCGCAAGTCCTGTGTATATTGTTCGTTGGAAACCTCAACAAAGCAACTGTCACCCTGGCTGGCGTGAATTTGCTTGAGCGAAGACATGCTACATCCGCACACGTCTGGTCGATAAATCCGTGAGCTCTCATCCTCGTCCCTACTACATTGTCCAAGCGCAGCTGATGATAGACGGCAGGTCAACTACAGAAAGCTGATGGGCCGTCCCCAGGGTAAGTCTTCGCCTCTCTCGGGGAATGGTGCTTGTGCTGATGATTATACAGGTAGGGGCGAGGAGGCAGACCAATGATGCTCGACGACGGGGCAGGTTATAGATCATTCGTCTCTATGGTCCAAACGCAGAACTTCGAACTTTCAATCCGCTTCACACCGTCACCCTACACGTATGTGTTCTTCATACATCTTGACGTTGGGCTGCTGATGACTCGGTGATATAGGCTCGAAGGATATTATTCGGCGTTTGTGCATTTACAGGCTTTTGTATCTGTTGTGGCATCCCAGCGTGAACTTGTAGTGGTAGAAATAGGCGAAGAAGGGAATTAGGCGCGCTAGAGTTTCTCCCAAAGGTTCTCATTTCTCGTGTACATAGTCCTTCTTCTTCATATGCAAACTAGATAGCCTAACCTTCCAACAGGTTATGAGCCTCGCCTGCCACTAGACTGAGAACAGACCTGTCCCCTCACATACTCGGAGTCCCTGTGTCGTCCAAAACAACCCTCATTATCCGTACCTCTGCTCTAGCCTGCGCCTCTCAACAGCTGTCTTGCCGTGTGAAAGACTACTGTCGCACCAGAAATTGGATAACGAGCCTGTGAGCTCTAGGATTGTAAGCAAGTCGCCTGTCTGTCCGGAGTGGGGCGAGCCTGTTCACACACGAACTGACCCACCTACCTAGGGACCGTCTATCCCTTTATTGGTGATATTTGATCTTACCATCGTTCGTTAGGCCCATCATCCAACTCTTCTCAAGATCCAAAAACCTCAACGTCCCTTCCCTGCCTCGCCTCCCTCGACTTTGCCGCCTGCCACCCATACCCCATACATGCTAGAGTTGGGAATACAGCAAGTAGTTCGTGAAGCCTACTCAGATAGAGCAGTCGGCGAGGTCCCCATCACTGTGCTTAGTGGTGATTACCCTGATACCACCATACTGTTTATCAGCTTCCGGGAGCCGGGGAGCAATGACGAAACAGCTGAGGGGATCATCATTGAGAGGTACGGAATGGGACTGGGACATGTCAGTGATGACGGAGAATTATACAGCAAGCTGTGTGGCGGAATTGGCAGAGGATGCTACGTACTGCTACAGAATAAAGAACGAGTCTTTTTCCGGCTACGCGAACGAGATAGATCATGGATGCTTCGGAGTAGGGACGGTAGTCGAGTTGCAGAAGAACTCTCTACTTACGAATATCGACGAGAGAGCACAGAATTTGTGTTAGAACGCCGAGAGTGCGAAGCGTGACGTAGGTACATAATCATATCACAACGAAAATGGAAAACTTTTGGGTTATCTGATGGAAAATCTCATGGTTCAACAAGGTCCCGGGGTATCTTTTCCACTTGCCGCTTGTTACGCATACCACCTCTCAGATCTTTCACTCTTCCTTCATCCCGCCCATTCGCAAAGCCATCCCAAGCCCGTCGGCCATTACCCTCCAAAATCCCACCAAATATCCTCCCGTCCATTGGCCCACCAGCATCGGCCCTTTGGCGCGAAGAAATCCGACCTGTCATATTTCGGCGTCCCGAAAAAGAAGGCGCCGCAACGAAGAAGGGCCGGAATTGAAAAGAGTCCTGCTTTTTCGAGAAGAATTACCGGATGAGGGAATTTATATTTGGTTCGCATCGTCCAGACTTGGGGCCACGTGGTCTAAGTTTTCTCGATCCTCGGTGATGTCCGAGAGGTGTCCGAGTGGTGTCCGAGGGGTGGGCAGGTTTAAATTAACGAAGGGCAGAAGGAGAGGGGGCATGTACGAGAGGTGGGTGTACGAGAGGTAGGAAGGGTGAAGGGGGGGTCATGGGGGAGACAAGGTGGGATGCATAGAGAAGAGATCAACAGCCAGCAGGTGGCCCACAATCGGGAGACGAAAGGCAGAAAACTTGAGAGATTTAGAGAGAGATTCTTGAATTATGGTAACTGGTAACTCGTTCCTGTCCTGAGCAGCTTGAAATGCAATTGGAGCATTGTCCTAATCCAATTAGCGCGCGGGATTAGAAAAGAGCTGATAACAATTAGGAAAGTGTAATGGTGGCTCCTATTGGATTAGGGTGCGCATTAGGCGGATTTTGAGGGGGGTTTACCCTGGGTATTTTGAGCTGGCTCGTTATCTCCTCGCTTCCCAGCCCACTTCCCAGGCGGCATGCAGAACAGCGGCACCCATGGATGCACTCTCCCTCCACTTCCTCCCCAAGACTCCCCCCTTGGCGTATTCCACGAGCACACTCACCCCCCCCCGTCGAAGAAGACTCCGTCAAGAAGAGCACCGGGATTTGCGCAGCGCTGTCCGCCGTCGCCACTTGGGAACTCGTCCATTCGCTCCATTCCACTCCCGCCCATTTGTTGACACAATCCATCATCCCTCTTTCCCCATCTCCCCCTCCTGCGCCTGCCTCTCCCCTCCAGCCCCCGAGCATAGACTGCCCCCGCCCCTCACGACACCCACACCGCTTCACCGCCAAGAAAGGAGCCCGACACGAACGTCTCCGCCCTCACGTCTCCTTGTCATCCTCCCTCGCCCCTGCAAGACGAGAGGCCATCCGCTATAGAACATGGCCCCGCTACCTTCCGCCTCGTGCGGGTCCACAGACGTCGTGAGTGTTCTCTTCCGGAGTGTTTGGTTTCTCCCCTCTGTGGATTGTTTGCGTCGCGACAATGGTCATTGGAGCGACTCACGCGATCACCCTTGCGAGCCGTCTCATTCGTCCATCCGCTCAAGTTCGAGTGGGGGCGCATCCGGCCTTCTATCTGTGGGCGATCGGGTGCTGGCTGAGGGGGTGGGAGGGGCAGATGGGGTGGTGCATCGGGTCATGGTGTATGGGATCTTGGATCGAGCGCTTGAGAGGGGATGAGATCTTGTTTGGGGGGTGGTTCGTATGGACCGTCGAGCCGTCGCGAAGAGTGGTCAAGGGTCTCTCACTCGGCCACTTTGCGTACTGCACTTGGAAGCGGATCGATCCCGCCGCTCTAAACCCGCATACCTCTACATTTACTAACACCCCTCCAGCGTCCAACCCCGCCACCACTCAACGTCCCCCACCCCCACGGCCACGCCCAAAACCCCCAACAATCCTCCGCCGCCGATTCCCTCTCCATCTCCCAAGCTTCCCAAGCAACATCGGTCTTGACAGAAGACGAAGAGGACCTGGAGGATTACAGGCCGGGGGGGTATCACCCGGTGAATATTGGGGATGAGTTCAAGACGGGGCAGTATGTGATTGTGAGGAAGCTTGGGTGGGGGCATTTTTCGACGGTTTGGCTGGCTAGGGATAATTCGTGGGTTCTTCTTTGCTCCGGCGGCGGAGCGAAGAGAAGGGGCAGAAAGCTGACAAAAGAAATCAGATCAAACCGTCACGTCGCCCTCAAAGTCGTCAAATCCGACGGCCACTACACCGAAACAGCCCTCGACGAGATCCAGCTCCTCCAACGCGTCGTCAACTCGTCCCCCACCCACGCTGGCAGACACCACGTCGTCGGCCTGCTCGACTCTTTCAGACATACAGGCCCGAACGGGTCGCATGTGTGTATGGTGTTTGAGGTGCTGGGCGAGAATCTGTTGGGGTTGATCAAGAGGTATCAGCACCGGGGCGTGCCGCAGCATATCGTCAAGCAGATTGCCAAGCAAGTGTTGCTTGGGCTGGATTATCTGCACAAGGAGTGCCGGGTGATTCATACGGATCTGAAGCCGGAGAATGTGCTTATCTGTATTGATGATGTCGAGTCTGTTGTGCAGGCGGAACTGGCGTCTTGCCCTGCGGCGGTACCGACAAAGATTGTGGGTGTGCCGCCGTCGCAGGGGAGGATGGGGAATCAGACGCCGAGAAAGGATAACATCTTTATTGTCGGGTCGCAGCCTTTACCCAGTCCGAGCTCGAGCTACTCTTCGTCGCCCATGCTCGACAAGTATGGTTTCGGCATGTCGAAAATCTCGGGTGCGAGCGCGCCCAAGGGGAGTTTACTTCCTGATTCTTCTGCTTCTGCCGCTGGTGCTGGAGGGAAGAAGGGCGCATCGACGGATGCCATTGGGAATGGACTGGAGAATGTCAAGCTTGGCGAAGGGAGCGGTCTGAAATGGGAAAAGACGAGTACGCCCGCTCCCCAACCGCCTTCCGGCCCCTCCCTCCTCTCGCAACAACTCCACACCCACCCGGCTTCTCCACCCCTCAACGCCGCGCCCTCCGAATCCGCCTCCTCCGTACCCTCCGCCCCGCTGGACGACGGGACGGACGTGTCGACGCCGGCTACGACGCCCGACCATGCGAGCCGATTACCAGAGCAGAACGACGATAGGGCGCCCGAGGCTGGGGACCCGAACCATCTGCCACCGCCGTTCCCGTACGACCCTGTGAGTTTGGAGAGGATCACGGTCAAGATTGCGGATTTGGGGAATGCGTGCTGGGTGGACCATCATTTTACGAATGATATTCAGACGAGGCAGTATCGGTGTCCGGAGATTATTTTGGGGACAAAGTGGGATGAGAGTGTGGATATGTGGAGTGCTGCTTGTTTGGTAAGTCCCCACTGTTCTTTGTGGAGGGAAGGGGAGAGGCTGATGGGGGTTGGTAGTTTTTCGAGCTGTTGACGGGAGATTACTTGTTTGACCCGCAACCTGGGGTAAAATATGATAAAGACGACGACCATATTGCGCAGATTATGGAGTTGCTCGGAGAGATGCCGCGTGCGCTCGCCATGAATGGAAAGTACAGTCACGAAATCTTCAACCGTCGCGGTACGTTTCTCTCCCCCCTCTTCCCTCTCCCCTTTCCCCGCTCATTACTGATGGTGTTACTCAGGCGAACTCCGGCACATCAACCGCCTCCGTTTCTGGCCCCTCATCTCCGTCCTCCAAGAAAAATACCTCATGGAAAAAGAAGATGCCGAACAGCTCTCGTCCTTCCTCGGGCCCATGCTTTGCTACCAGCCCGGGGAGAGGGCGAAGGCGAGCGAGCTGTTGGAGCACAAGTGGCTGGAGGGCGTGGTGGTGCAGGGGGAGGTGGAGCTGAGTAAGAGTTTGAGGGAGAGCGAGCGGATACGGCGGGAGGTTGGGGATGCTGCTGGGGCGAACGCTGGGGCGAACGCTGGGGATGGAGGGAAAGGCGAGGCGAATGGGAGGGTGAATGGGGCGAGCAATGGGAAGAGCGTAGAGCCGCAAAAAGGCGGTTTTGAGGAAGTGTTGAACCTTGGGCCGGCGGTAAAGGGGATGGTCGGTATGGGTCGGATTTAGATGTCGATGTCTCTTTTCTTCTTTTGATTGCTTCTCTCGATAGATGATTGGTAAAAGTCTTCTTTCTTTTTTCAACCTTGTTATATTGCATTTCCCGTAGTTTCCTTATCCTTCTCCACTTTCTCTTTTCTATGTGATACGTATTCTGAAGAAATGGTTGTTTAAGTCTTCGACGCGTAATGGGGTTAATACAATCAATATGAATACCATCTGGATTACACCTCTTCTCTGTGCAAACAATTACTGTATTTCTCGTTGAAACAGTCCATACTCGTGCTACTTTACTCAATTTACTAGTCCCACTCGTCGTCGCTTTCTTCATCTTCATCATCCGACCCGATATCAGCCTTTCGTTTACTCAACGCCGCCGCTAGACTCGACGCCAGATCACCACCATCTATCACATTGTCAGCCACTTCAACACCCATCCCAGACAATGACTTACTGTCTTCCTGCGTAGACGCTACAGCCGCCGCAGCCCCAGCACCAACCACAGCTCCCCCAGCCGCACCAGCCACCACACTCCCTCCAGCCAGGGGCGACACCTTCTGTTCACTCGGGTCGACTTTGCGAAGATTGCCGACGCCTTTACCTTGGATAGACGCAAAGAGGGCCGAGTGGCCGCTGCCGGCACCGGCGGGAGGGGCTGGTCGGGACGTGGGAGCAGCGCCGGGGGGAGGGGGCGGTGGAGGTGGGGCGGATGGGGCTGATGGGCGAGCGGGAGGAGGAGGGGGAGGGGGAGGGGCGGAGGGGGCGGAAGAGCGGGTTGGAGGGAGAGGTGGTGGGGGAGGGACGTTGCTTCTTGCCGGGGGCGCTGGGGGCGCTGGGGGTGCCGGTGGTGGAGGGGCAGGAGGCGCTGCTGTTCGTGCTGGAGGAGGCGGGGGCGGAGTAGGAGGGGGCGCTGAGGGCGCGGCTGATGTTCGGGCTGGGGGAGCAGGGGGGATGGGAGAAGATGGAGCGGGGGAAGAGGGCGAGGCGATTGTGCTTGTTCTGTTGGTGCGGGATGCGGGTGGGGGAGGAGCGGGCTTTCGGCGAGAGGTTGGGGCTGGGGGAGGAGGTGGTTTCTTTGGAGCCGTCGCCTATACCCTCATCAGCTCCTTTTCTTTTCCTGTAGTGGGGAGAGTGAAGTACCTTTTCGATACCACCCTGCTGCTCAACAAAGTCTTGGATAAACTGCTGATTATTCTGGATATCCTTCTCCGAGAACCCTTTCTGCGTCAACTGTTCGAGCAGCTTTTGCCAGCTGGGATCGACACCAGAGGAAGAGAAACCCTTTTCAGAGTCAAAGCCCATATGGGCGACGTGTTTGAATGACCCAACAGACTGCGCACATGTTCAGCTTGGCTAACTACGCAGGGGTAAGGGGACGTACGGGACCAGAGATCATGGATTTGTCGATCTTGGCTTTACCGCCCTTCTTCTTGGTGGGTGTAGCCTTTTCCTTCTTCTCCGCAGGCTCCTTCTTCTCTTTGATCTTGGCTGCAGCATAGTCAGGGGCTTTGTCCAGATGGGACGAGGGGGGACGTACTAGCGTATTTGGAGCGGTTGGCGACCTTTTTGTAGAACGCGTGGGCTTCAGTCTCGCTGGGAAAGACGAATGCGAATGATTGATCCTATGTCCTCTTATCAGCCACAACCCCAAGATGGCTTGATGGACGAGATTACGCACATCGCCTTGCCAGGTATGGAAGAATGCCTTTTCCTGGTTGTACTCAATCTCGTTCGGGAGTTCGTGTTCCCAGATCACGCCTCTGTAAGACTGTACCGTGAAAGCATGTTAGCTTCGGAGTGATGTGATGGGAGGAGATGGACAAGACTTGCAGTTAGGTCGACTAGTCGGAACCATAGACCGCCTTTAGCCTTGTCTGCGCAGAACACCATCGCGCCTTCGACTCCAGAGTACGACCAGCTACAAATTCCCAGTCAGACTTCTACCTTTCGACCTACCCTCACGGCTCTAGGATGATAAAGAAAGAGGGGCGTACGAATTAGCGCCGGGTTTGGCATGATAGACTCTAGCGACGGTGGCGGTGATGATCTTGTTTGAGCTGCTCGAGGTGGGGACGGCCTTTTTGACTTTGGCCTTGTCATCGGGGGACAGGATCGAGGGGGGTGCCATGCCTTGCTTGGGTTAAGGGAGAAAGATGAAAGAGAGATGGATGTAAGAGATGGATGGCGCTCGGTCTTGGACGCAGTCGCAACAACACCAAGGCAGGCGGCGAATGCCGTGGTGACATCACCCGCTTGCGCCAGGCTGACGTTTGCTTCTGTCTTTGCTCGTGGACTCGTGGCTGGAGGAAAAGAATATCATTACATGCTCTGATCTACAACAATCTGTCCCCCTCATATCGTCATCTCTTTCGTCCATGCAGGAGTCCTCAATCCCTTCTTACATTGGCGGTAAACTCCTCTTACAAAGCGGGCATATCGTCTACGATCTCATATCAGCCCCATTCTCTCTTTCTCTTCTCCCCTTCTCCCCCTCTCCTTCTCTTCTCCCCCTCTCCTTCTCCCTCTTCCCACAGCCCTCATTTCTTGAGAGAAGGAAGGGACCAAAAACAGAAAGAAAGAAAAGGACTCACTTTGATACTCATCCACTGCGCCAAACAATTCGTATGAAACACATGTCCACAAGGCGCTATCGCATACCCCCTCCTATCGCCCAGCCCCAACCCTGACAGTACGTCCCTCCCTCCTTCTCGTGCTTCTTCCTTTTTACCTTTCCCCCCAGCAGTCTTCGAAGTTGACGCCGCCCTCATATGACCATTCGAGTGAGCGTGAGAAGGGGAATGAGGCGAGAAGGGATGAAGGTCGACATCGTCATAACAGATCGAGCACGTCGTCTCGCCGTCGAATGGTGTGGGGTTTTCGGCGTCGGGGGGTGGGATGTGAGGGTGGTAGTTGTACATTTCTGGGGGTGCCATCTGTTCCCAACAAAATGCGTTGTTAGCTTCTTTCTTTTACGTGGTTGAGGTTGAGTGAGAGGACGTACGCTTTTGGGAAGGCTAAAATAGGCGTCGTCAGCCGAAGTGGGTTGGTGGAAGAGGAGAAGGGGGACGTACAAAAATGCAGGACCGAACTTTTCTTGAGCGTAGAGTATGAAAACTTGTACCGCTTGCCACAGAACCAAGCCCCATACCCAGGGTTTGGGTTCGATAAAGAAGATGTTGTCTTTATATGCGAACGCATCTGTCTCCAATATCAGCTTTCTTCTTTCTTTTCCTTTCCTCAAAGAGATAAGATAGGGGAGGGGAGACGTACAAAGAACCAACCCAACCCTCCCCACCGCACTCCCCAGAACAAATCGCCACTCCAAAGCCCGCCCATTCCCCCTCCTAGCATTGCGCCAGATCTGGGGGATCCAGAAACTGTAGATGGTGTAAAATACGTACGGGATAAGGCGGGGGGTGAAGAGGATGGAGGGGAGGAGGAAGAGGGTTGTTAGGAGGAGGAGCCCTGTGGGATGTCAGCTTGAATCTCGGGACAGTGGTGAGGGAGGAGGGACGAGAGGAAGGGCTGCAGGGATAGGTGAAGGGAAAGGGAAAGGGAAAGGGGGGGGAAGAAGAAGGGTGAAAGCGTACATTTCAAGGCGGGCGCAGCCCTAAACGCCGACCTCACCGCTTCTACGATATTGATATTGAATCGGGGTTCAGAAGCGATTGGGATTCGGTTGACCTGGTTGGTGGTAGCTGTATTGTCCGCGGGGGCTGGGAGAGGGGCTTGAGCGATAGAAGCCGGGGCAGGAGGAGGAGGAGGAGGGGGCCGCGAATCGACTTCGGGAGCTTGAATACGGTGTAGGAGTACGGCGTATCTCTAAACCGCCATGTTAGTTTTCTTTGCCTCACTTCCAAGCCACCGAAAGCGCCAAAAAGAAGAAGAGAGAAGGAAATAAGGGTAAAAGGGAACAGAGAAGACGTACAGGTCCAAAGACAACGGCCCCACACAATCCCAAAAACCCAGGTACAAACATCCCCACTCCCCCTCCGCCGCCCTCGCCCAGTATACCAAGCACCACATGAATACTAAAGACATAACTATCGGCGACAGACATGATGATGATAGTCCAGAGGGATACTTTGGATAGTGTTGAGGGGGTCCGGGTGGATCCCATTTGGTGGACTAGGAGGGCGAGGAGGAGGAGTTGGGTTAGGGTGGCGAATGCTGAGTCTGTGCGATACCGTGAGCTTGTGAAAAGAGAAGAGAAAGAGAAAGAGGAAGAGGACGCGGGAGAGGGAGAGGGAGAGGGAAGGAGGAAGGGGGAAAGGGACGTACAAGTAACACCGTCCCTCCAAAATTCCCCCACCGGAACACCCTTTCCACCTTCAATCCCCAAAGCCCAGCCGCATTGGTCTGCGACGACAACCCCGCCCAAGCCTGGGGGGGCTTGACAGTATCCTGGTGGACGATTCATACTTGCCAGCAGGCCAGTGGGGTTGACGAGTTCGCGGTTGTATGCGTCGATGTCGGCTTTGGACCAGTGTGAGGGGAGGGGAGGGAGGGTGAGGGATATGAGGAGGGGGCAGGTTGTTATATCAGAGATGTCTTTTTTTGCATTTCATGAGCTTAGAGCGGAGGGGAGGGGAGGGGACAAGAGGGGAAGGCTTACCGTCGGGCTTCATATTCCCAAGCACAAACGCATTCTCCTGATTCTTAACCTCCCTCTCCATCTCCCTCAACAAGATCCCCCTCGTAACATTCCCTACACTCCCCTGCACCCCGGTCTTCCCCTCCCCCCAGAGACCGGGTAATCGCCGGACGTCGGGGCGCATACCGACGGGCAGGGCGTAGAGGTTGTATGTCCCGTTGGTAAGGTGGTGGAGGCCGTAAAAGTCGTATATGATCGTTTCGTCGTTGAGGGTGGATAGTTGGTTGGGGGGACGGGAGGTTAGGGTGAAGGAACCTTTGACCCAGTTCCAGGAGGTATACTCTACATCTTCTTCCGACTTCCACTCGTCGCCTATTGGTTTGGAGATGTTTCGTTCGCGGAGGGACATGTCCCATCGCATCGTACTTGCCCAATCCCATGATCCCCGCATAGCTTCGGCTCGAGTCTCATTCCAGCTAGCTGTATGGTTGATCGCGGGGGGGGTGGCGGAGCCTTGCCAGAATGATGAGAGGGAAGAGTTTGGGGATGAGAGGGAGAGGGGGTGGATGGTGGCGCCGCGGTAGAAGCCTGTCATGTTTGTGTAGAAGCCGTGTTCGGTGGGTTCGTGGGAGTATTTCGGCGGGATCAAGGCCATTGGGAGTACTTCCGGTATTGGCGGCTGCACCACGTTAGCCTTAACCCAAAGAAGAAACAGAAGCATACCTCTGTATAATTCCCCGTCCCATTCAACCACCCGCGCCACTCATCCCTCTGCCCCCTCACCCACTCATACTCTGTCACCCCCGGCGTTATCTGCCCGTCTGGACCGATCTCGGAGCCGGAATTGACGGGGGCGTGGTTGCCGCCAGACAAGAAGAAGAAGAAGGCGGTCATGAAGAGCATGGAGGAGATGTTTGGGCGGGGGCGGGGCGGTGGGGAATCGTTGGCCGTGGAGGGGGGTTGGGGTTGGGGCTGGGGGGTAGATGGGCGGGGCCCCTGCTCTTGGGACGACATGGTGCAGATGGAGATGCAAGAGGAGATGGCGAAAACGATGACAGCGAAGCAACAACTCGAGACCGGCGGCCATTTTGATCCCGTTCTGGGCTGCCCGGCCGGTTCGATCCTGTGCCTAGATTGATTCCGCTTTTATTCCCACTTGGGAGTTTGGGCTCGTACGATGAGTTTCGAAATGTTGTTGACATCTTTGCGTTTCTCAAAGTCAGTCGAACCACCCCACGCCCACCGGCATCCCACTCTCTTTCCCTCTTTCGCCATGGTCTCGTCCCATAGACCCCGCAACCCGAACAAGGCCGCCCCTGTGTCCGCTCCCTCTTCCGGCTGCGTCAAGAAGTGGTCTATCAGAGGCCTCATCGTGGCTGCTCTCGTCGCTCTTTACACTTTTGCCAACACCATCAACGTACGCCCCCTCTTCTTTGCTTGTAGCCTTACTGATGACTCGGTAGCACCACTTCTACATCCTCGACCCCGCTGCCCTCAACACCACCGTCCAAGAATCCCTCGCCCTCGCTAAATCCCTCTCCCCCGGCGCCAGCCCCAATGCGACGCTGGTAGTGGATGTACTGGTCAAGAAGTTGGTGGAGGATCATCCGCAGGCGAGGTGGGCGACGGGGTGGGAGGATAGGGGGGAGTGGGTGTTTAATAATGCGGGAGGGGCGATGGGGAGTATGTTTATTTTGCATGCGAGTATCACAGAGTGAGTCTTTCTTGTAGGGCTGCGAGCGGAGCGAGCAGTAGTAATAGTAGGGTGGGCGGGTGGGGGTGGGTGGTGGGCACTGCGAGCGAAGCGAGCAGTTGTGATAGCGGGCTGGGTGGTTGGGTATACCCACTGTCACTTGACGCCCCCGTCATCCCCACTCTCCCTTCCATCTCCCCTTCTTTCCACATCTCCCCACCCACTCTCTCTAGACCAAAACTAACATACCCCCAGATACCTCATCATATTCGGCTCCGCCATCGGCACAGAAGGCCACACCGGCCGCCACACCGCCGACGACTACTTCCACATCCTCACCGGTACCCAAACCGCCTACGAAGCTGGTGACCTCACAAGGGAGGTTTATGGGCCTGGGGACGTACATCATCTGAAGAGGGGGGTGGTTAAGCAGTATGCTATGGAGCCGGAGAGTTGGGCGTTGGAGTATGCTAGGGGTGGGTCTTGATCTCTTTTCTTCTTCTCCCCTCTTCGCCTTCTTTCCTCATCCTGCGTTCTTCTGTAACTTTCTGTGTGTTGGGATAAGCTAACATGAGGTGATAGGCTGGATCCCCCTAATGCTCCCCTTCGGCTTCGCCGACACCATCTTCTCCACCATGGACGTCATCACGCTGTACCATACTGTGAGGATCACGGGGCGGGAGATGATTGGGAATCTGTTGGAGGGGAAGATCTAGCCTTTCTAGCTCTAGATTTAGTTGGAAAGAGGATGGGAGAATGGGAGAGAGGAGGGAGGATAGAGGATAGATATATAGAAAATAAAGTACAGTTGATGAATAAAGTAATAGACATGTTTGAATGTGGTCGTTGGATGATTAGCGGTCCGAGGCCCGAGCGCGTGTACGCGTCACCCTCGAACGAAAAGGAAGCCGTTAACCTCCTCGCTAACTGCAGATCTTTACAAGTCTACGAATACTTGTTGTTCAAGTTCACAAGTGCTGAATCAAGCAGATACTTTTGCCTCTCTACCTTTTGATTACCTTGACCTATCGCCAGTAAGCGATGATTTTCCATCATCCAACATCCATCATCCTCCATCATGTCTTGGGTGCGTGGGTCTAACTAGGACAGGTGGTGGTAGAGAAGGGGCGGGATGAAATTGATATTCACTTCGGGGACAGCTCTGACCCAGCAGGGGAAGAAGGATCGGAGAGAAGGGCGTGCGATAACATCATCATAATGAAAAGAGAAAGTTTGATGATGCTTTGTAGATGCATTGGGGGATCAGAGAGATGCTGACGTGAAACAAGTGAGGGTTTTGGTTGGTATGGCCCGGGGCGAAATGGCGTCTTATCTCCCTTCTCCGCTTCTGCATACTTGTATTACTAAAACGGGAGGAGAGCACCCGCTCAACACACGCGGTGCAATAATGGGATTTCAGCGGGCGTGTGTGCGATACAAGCACAGAGGAACATGACGCTTGCAATCATCACGGAGTAGTACTGAAAAAGTAGATGAGTTCAATCATATACTAAGGAAAGGCAAGTTTGAATGTCGGTATCGAAGAGTAGAAGAGATGACCCCATCGCACACGAGGTACTTTTGTTGATTCTCGGTTCGGTTGATGTGACACTTCCATGCAACTTTGAGGCATCGAGTTTGGTTTATTTCTCTTGTTTATGGAGCGAAGTATGATCTGCGGGAAAAGAAAAAAAGAGATCGACTCGAGAAGGAGTACGGGTCCAAGAATACATCTTGTGGGGCGAAAGGGCGAAGAGTATTTGGTCCACAAATGGCATTCCTTGCATCATCCCTGAAAGGTGTACAGACATGGGAGGTGGGATCATGTAAAGGACCTAAATACCAAGTAAGATCGATCAACCGGATGAGCAGCAAAAGCCACTGCATCACAATTCCACCTCCGGAATTGTAATGCATATGTTGGTACTTGGACTTGTTGACCCGCGCCCCGGGACCTGACCACTGGATCCTTACACATCAACATGCGTATCAGAGGAGTCTCGTCCGAGAACCGCAGAGGGCAGAAGGTCTTTCGAAAGGTACTATGGCCGGTCGGTCATGACGGGATTGTGTACTGCAAATATGCTACGAGTGTCTCTGTCGAAAGCGAAGAAAGCTGCACAACCCACATTATTGCCGCGACAAGCCAATCTGCCTAACCGCAAGTATTAGCAACCCTTCATGGCCCCAAGTCGGCAGCGAAGTGATCGAGAAAGATCAAGACGATCTCGCGCGAGCCCCGCAGTGAGTTTCAAGGATAGTTTTTGGACAAAAGGGTCGAGGAGGGCTCGGTTCCCAAATGACAGTCTTCTATCATTCAGAAAGGATCAGCATAAGGCGGAGCTGGGGTCTCATAACCGAAGAAGGGTAGAGTTCTTACTATAGTCATCATGCCCAGTCAATCCTGAGGTAATTGTGGACTACAAATAAGCTGTGAGTATCTACCGAAAGCGGAAATACTGTACAAGCCATATCGCAAAGACGATCCAACAGCAGAATGAGGAGCTCTTGGGCCCATTTTGGTCCCGTTGCGGTGGGTTCAGGATCACTAAGGTCGGTGGTTGGCTGGCTTATGGCAGGTGATACCCTCTCATTAATAACGATACATCTGTACAGTCCAAGGGAACGAACGTTCCTGACGATGATACATCTGTAGAGCCCAATGGGACTAATGCTTTAGACTCGCAAGACCTGAATGAGGAATGGAATGAGAATTATGCTGACGAGTCTGCTCCGTCAGAGAAAGAGAGGCGTAGTAAGGCATAAACCTTTACCAACTGCAAAAAAAGGAAAACTGATGTTAATCACTCTGAACGTAGAGCGACGTGAGTTCCATCGGCACTAGTGCTCGTATCATCAGCCACACCACGTCCGGAGGCTTATATGGCTGCTGCAGTCAATACGGAATATGCACGAACGACGCGAGCAAGGAAGAAAGCTCTCATCAAAGAGATACAATTTCTGCAAAATGAGACCGGCGACATGTCTACCCAGGCTTCGTTCACTACAAATAGCACGTTTGAAAATGCTGAATGGGGAGATCAAGAGGCTGAGGACGGAGCATGTGGTGGACAAGCCGTTTGATGATAACCAGACGGTGGTGACCTGGACCAAGCCAGTCACTGGTGATCCATCTAGAAAAACGTTTGTAAGTAGTCTGAAGACTGGATTACGCCTATGAGCATCTCGAAATAGGCATACTGGGTGAATGAGGTTAGGCAGGTAGGAAGCTAATCCTTATCGCTATAGATCAACACGGAGAATCTAAAGGAAGAGAGGGGCAGAGAGAGAGAGGGAGAGGTATAGAGGTACAATTGCAATATCATGAATCAACAGCCATACCCTTGACATGTTCCGTGATGGTTCTTATCATTCATGTGTGGGGTTGCTTGCTCTCGTCTCCATCTCGTCTTATCACGCATAATTCTCGTCCTCGTCTCCTCTTCTACTAACACTGTACGACGTAGCTCGTCCATGTTCGCCTCCTTCTACCTTATCTGACTCGCCGCGTCCTTGCCACTGTCGTTAGCCTCTCGTACACTATGCTGATCAACTTGAACCACCTGTCACTCCGTGTCGTAGCCGCCTCGTACATCGTCTCGTTACTCCTGTGCTGGGATCGAAAGTTCTCTTCAACCTAGTTCAACCACCTCCTTTTATCTCACCGTCACCGCCTTTAATACTTCCCACAGACCTATTCCAAGCACAATAGCGGACTTCTACCCAAGGACTTGAACTGAACGCGCAACAAGATCACAGGGAGGTAATGACTACATCTGTCCTCCTACCCTATCTAGAGCAGGCATGACCACCAGGCGCCATCCATATATTGGACGACCGACTAAGTGGTCGAATGGGTGTGTATCTTTTGTATGGAGCGAGGTTTGATCTGCAATAAAAGAAGAAAGATCTTTCTGAGAGATACTACGTATTCAAGAACAGAACCATGGACGAAGCTTTGAGGGGTACTCGCTTTACAGGGGGTCATCCTTACACCATCCGTCAAAGGTGTGCCGGCTTGATAATTGAGATCGACATGCGTTTCATCGGAGTTTGGTCCTAGAACCGAACCTAATATTGGTAGAAGATCTCTAAGGACTATGGCCCGGCGATCATGACGGGATTGTGGACTACAAATATGCTACGAGTGTCTCTGCCGAAAGCGAACAAAGTTTTACAAGCCACATTATTGCAACGACAAGCCAATCCTTCCAACTGCAAGGATGAGCAGCCCTTCATGGCCCCAATTCGGCAGCGTTGCGGTGAATTGTGTATAACGCGATATGGAGGTTGTTGGTTGATGGCAGGTGATACCTATCCATTCGTGACGATACATTTCCACAGCCCGATGAAGAAACAAACGCTTCGGGCTCGCAAGGTTGGGAAGACGAATGGAAAGAGATTTTTGTCAAAGATTCTGCTCACTTGTCTGCTCAGTCGCAGCAGGAAAAGATAGAGAAGAGAAGGAGTAAGTCATCAAGCTCCACCAACCACAAGAGAAGGAAAGCTGATGCCGTTCATTCTGTTCGTAGGCCAATGTAAGTCCTATCAGCACGCCCGTTGCGTCACGTCCGGAAGCTTACGCAGCATGTGCAGTCAAAGCATCTTCACGAAAGACGCGGGACAGGAAGAGAGCTCTGATCAAAGAGATTCATTTTTTGGAGAACACGACTGGCGACAGGTCTACCCAGGCATCCTTCACTGTGAGGAGCACGTTTAAGGTGCTGGAAAAGTGAGATTATGAGGTTGAGGACGGAGCATGGGGTGAAGATACCGTTTGATGACAAGGCATTGACCTGGATCAATGTCACCGGGAATCCGTCTAATGATAGTAGTAACCGTGACACCATTGTGAGCACTTCCCGGCTAGAGACCAGGCCAAGAGGGTCAGAATATAATAGTCGGTGCAGGACGAAGATGCGAAATAGCCGTTCGACATTCGGCGTTGCTGACAACATAAACTCCCTCCAGGTAGCAGTGGGATGCTTGTGTTGCGTTATGCATGCATATGATACGTGGCCACGCATCAAGAATATGCTCGATGTTGATGGGATGCGCCTCTGGTCGTTTCCAGTGTACGATTGATGGAATCATAGTCGACAAGATCTTCGTCGTCGAGGTTCGCCGTTACGCACATTGATCAGCCTATAATTGCGACCGATGGGAAGATCTTTCGCCCCCACTCATTTACAGCCTCGATCGATTATGGGCTCTGGAATTCAATGTACAGCACAGTAGCACATGTAGCTTCACTCTTATTTGGAATGTTGCAGTGCCGAGAGAGTCGAGCCTTTGGTATGCTTCATATCGTACATGCCAGCCAGCCTGGAATCCAGGCCGCCGATGATGTCGGAAACACCACGTTGAGACCGGTAGTATTGTACAGTGTGCCGTGACGCCGGGGCTGTATCCATGCTCGGATTATTCCATGCGTACATAGACTTTTTCCTCCAATATGCCAAGTAGAGTACTGTGTGGTTCACCCCCGAACAGCGCGTTATGAACAGGTGGACGGCGGGTTATGGTGGACTGCCCTGGATCCTTTCCGTTGGCCGCTTCTTGATCGAGTCTCTCAATGACTACCGTCCTTTGGTTCCCCTCTTGTCCTGTTTGTTTGATAGTCTTTTGTTATGGATGATGATCAGGTGCCCCGTATATCAAAGGCATGGGGCTGTTGGCGTACGTCATGTCGAGAGGCATCGACGTTGATGCGCCACTGTAACTCTCTCCTCTTTGTGCTAAATTGGCTCCTTGCCCCCCTCGCCACTACACTGCCAGCCATGCGCGGCACACAGATGTCACCGGATAATCAAATGCACATCCCGTGTCTTAACGGTCACGAGCAACCATGATCAGCCCCCCCTCGCTTCTTTCCTCACCATTGCACTACTTGTTCAGCTTTGTGATTCGACCATTTGACTCAGCCCCGACCCTCTCGGCGGAAGGAGGGGTCGATGGGGGGCCCAGAAATTCCCCGGACAAACAAAGCTGTATACTCCGCCTTTCAGACCCTGAATTGATCTAACGTCGTATGGGCTTTCCCATCTCTCGGCTATCATCCCCATCTCCGACTCGTCCATTCACATCGGAAATGTCCGTTGATCACCAGGGTTTGGCTTTCTGTCTCACACTTCGCAGTAGCCTCTCGACGCTGATCTGCTCTCGTTCCGGTGTTGAGGGTGGGGAAAAGGGCCGTTCTCTATTGGATGTGGGTATGGATGAGCGAGTGATGCTTGACATGAGGCTGTACTCAGATGGGGCAGCAAGGGATATATAAAGAGCTCTACGTTGGGAAAGAAAATCATCGTGTCACCTCTTCTTTATCCTGATCATTCGCCACCAGTCTTTCAGCCTATACTTCACATCCATCATCCCCAGCGCATTCAACCATGTCTACCACTCAGCTCACTCACTCTGCCCTCCGAACCCTCGTCCCTCATGAAGACATCCCTCCTCTTACTCTCGGCCAGACCACCCGCGCGTCCTCTTTCGCATCTTCTACCACCTCCACTTCGTCAATCTACTCTCGGGCTGCCGATGATCTTATTGACAGGTTCGCTACACATCAGGTTAGTCTCGCTTCACTCACTCTCCTATCTAGGTGCTGATGCTGACACGTATCGTAGCCCCAGACGCCCATTCATCTTTGGTCGGGCGGTAACGTTCGACTTGGGAACATGGACCTTACTCTCACCACGCACGATGCTGAGCTGTTGATGCACGCTATGAAGGGCGACGAACGCGTGAGTCTCTACAGCTCTTGTAAACTGTTGAGTCAGGCGATTGCGGCTGACGACGTCATTGTAGTTCGATTTTGTCAAGTTGATTTTTTTGGATGAGGATCGTGAAGAGTGGAAGGTAAGCCTGTCGCGAATCCTTCTCGGTCTTCACTGACATGGTTTTAGATCTCCTTCATGCGCTCTCAAGTCTCTTTCATCAGCGCTCCTTCTTCTGTCTTTGAGTTCTAGTCGCTTTCTGATACTATACTTCTCTTCTTCTCATTGACCATTACTGTATACTTCCTCTGTGGTGGTAATCACTTTCTGTTGGCGTGCTCGGTCTTACATTTCTTCTCGTTAACAGTCTGCATAGTCGTAATTTAATCATCAGTGATGTTTGTAATTTGTCGTATGTGATCATCATCCGCTTGCGACTTCGATATGTTGCCTACAGTATCTCTGACATTGCTTCTCTAATTGTCGGGGTATACTGGGTCAAGACTGGTGTAGGACGAGTAGCGTTCATCGCCGAGCTTATGTAGAAATTACAGCAATGTAGGTCTCGGTATATGATACGAAGCGACATGCTACATTACCCCTTCATCTCATTACCAGGACCAGCATACCAATGATTCGTAGTCGTCATCAACACCGGCGGCGGCACAGTATCCACCGGTACGTCTGCCAGCTTCTTCATCCAATCTCCATCTTGCTCAAACAAGTACGTCATACCGCCCGTTAACTGCGTCGGCTTGGGTGCACTTTCGTTCCTCTGAGCACCTCTTGTGACCTTGTCGATGGCGGCCCAGACCTTGTCCATGTCGTCGGGCGGTTCGAGCATGCCGGCAATTTCGGAGGAGACGGTGCGGTAGATGAGGACGGCGAGGGCGATGGCTGCTATCTTTTTGCTGACTATATGCCCGGGAGGTCAGGGACGGCGTCGGCAAAGAACATGGGATGGACGTACGGAAAGACACAATGACGATACAGCTCAACGCCTGTATGTCCCTGATCCTCCTTCTCCAGAGGTTCTCTTGAGCTTCCCGCTTCATGCTTGCTTGCACCCTCTTCATCAAAGTCTGCTCGTCGGGCCCACTTGGAGGCGCAGGTAGTTTCGGACGATTGAAATGACCCTTTTCTATAAGTGAGTCTTTGTTCTATATCAGTACGGGATAGACTTACGACGTGCGGCGCATTACCGCCCTCCCACCATAGCTCATCTTTGACAGCAGCTTCTGGCTTCGTCTTTCCGAGAGGGAAGGGAAACAATCGCGGTTGGGCGTTCTTTGTCGTAAGGAATGCTGAAGGATGAGATCGTGTATGCGCCTACGACATTGTTGGTAAGCCCTTCTGCCATCATCATCAAACGTAGCTTACCCAGAGATCTGGACGAGGCTTCTTACTCGCCATCAAAGCTTTCAGTTTAGAACCTTCCGGGTCGTCGGGTTTGGGCCATTTTGCGAGCTCTTGTTGATATCCGTAGTATATGATTGACGTCCTCACAACGTAGCCTCTGCATCTCCATCAAAATGCGTCCTGATCAGAGAGCTATAGACTCACGTCACTGCTATCATTGTGACTGTGCTGCAGATGCGGTAGAATGGTATGAGCTGTAGAGGTAGAGGCGAGGAGGCCATGACTAATCACGTCAGCGAGATATCGATCCAGCTACTCGGAAGACTCACGTAGACTCAAAGCACACATCACCGCTATACACTGAGCATACTCGTTGAATTGTAATCTGTCGTCTCATCAGTGTTCGGCCGTAAGCTTGGGCAACAGTTTTTCGCTTACGCTGGATGAGGCTGGGGCTTCTCCAATTCCTCTTGCAGTCGTTTTACCTCCTTCTCATGAGTCGGGACAGACGATGATCCCCTCTTCTTTGCATCTTCGAGGGTCGCCTCGGCTTTCTTTAGTTGCTCTGCAATAGACGCCATGCTGCTACAGAGATGTGGTGAGTATACACATATTGGCTTGTTTTTGACGAGATGGTGGCGTGAAAGGATCATCGCTGAAAGGATGTAGGTGAAAAGCCGGGCGGTAAGAGATCGTACATCTCATCTCCTTCTCTATCTTTATTCCACCCCGCATCTCTACCAAGCCCCATACCCCTGCTCGGCGTGCCCGTTTATACCCCCCATACCCTGCATATTAGGCTCCATAATCCCTCCTTGCTCTCCGCCTTCTCCTTCCTCTTCATCACCACCCGTCTCCTTCTGCACCGCCAAAATGACCCCCGCCAAGTTTTCCACCAAGATATCCAAGCCTTGCTCGATAACCGACCGAACAGGGATGGAGCCGACGGATTCAACGTTGAAGTAGAATGTGGAGGGGACGGCGTTGTAATCGAATGGGGCGTTGGGATCGGGAGGGGTTTCGAAGATGGCATTGTTGGAGAGGGGCCACTCGCCGCGTTCTGTACCGATCAGTATTGGTAAACTCGGAGAAGAGAAGACTCACCGTCCGTCTCGAACCAATGGGTGGTATGTCTCAGCTTGTTATAAGGATCGTACTCGAACGCGACTGTTGATAAAGGCGACCATTTGGCGTGATGCTTGGCGATACCCTACAGACACATCAGTCACGTCCTTAACTCAGAGACAAAGACTCACCTTGTACGCTTTGCAGACAAGGTCAATTGATTGCCCTTTACCCATCTTGGCAATCAATATAGGCGGAATAGCTGCGTTGCCCTTGCCAATAGGAATACCCATCTCATTGTCGCGGTGGTCCATGATGACTCGGTCTTCTTCAGAGATTTCCGGGGGAGGACCGTAAGGGTTTGGCGGCGGAGGCTAAGCACACGTCAGTGAGATACAAAAGTAAACGGCTGTCAAACTCACTCCACCGGGACTGGGAATGACCTCCAGCATATCACTCGTGATCTTCATGAAACCATCCCCATTGAACGCCACCTTCAGCTTCAAAGTCACCATGCAGTAATAGCACCCTTCATCACAATCGCAATCCCTTGTGTATCGCAGTCCTTTTTCAACGCCCCGGCTGATCAGGGGGACAAGACCGAGACGGTGGGCGATCATTTCGTCGGCAAGAGGAGTGGTGTTTTGAAGGAAGAGGACTTGGTCAATAGCTACAGCGCGGCTCAGCATACGCGATTGCCAGAGTCCTCAGGTGCGTACCGATAGTAGGCACATCCGCCATGACTACTCTTCTCAAGCTATTGGCGAATGCGAGCTCGGTACCGCTCAGATGGAAAGTCGCCTCGGAGTCATTGAGATTGCGGAGGAGGATCTTGGGCTGGTTGGTGGGCCCGACGGGAACGTCGATGGTCTGGGGTTGATTCGAGCTGGAGGGTTCGCCGTAGCCGTAGGAGTCCATGGTGGAGATGGGGTTTTGTGGATGGATGGGCAGTGTATCACGAGCATCATCCGTAATAATGGGCAGCGAGAAGAAAGAAGAGTGAAATTGATCCCGCTATTTACGTAAGGTCTAGCCTGTTGTTTACAAGCTCGAAACGCTTATTAACAGAAGGCCCCTATGAGCGATTGCCGGGCTCTCTTGGGCATCAAATATCGGTAGACAGCCCCCCCCACCCTGTCTTTCAGTCCCAAACAATCAAAAGCGGCATAGCGACATGCAACGAAGTGTATGCCGCTGCCCAAAATTCACGAGCCATGTGCCAACTGCGCGCCAGCCACTGTCCAGACGCACAATGCTAAAATGGAGAGGGCTCCCTCGAATCTGCTTGACACCTCATTACATATATGCACATCTACACAGCAACGCTGGTATCCTCCTCCTTCTTGAACAGACATCTCATGCCGTACGCATCCTCGCCATCGGCATCTGTACCACCATTAGCTATGTCACGCCAAGTAGCAGATCCAAAGACACTCACAGTACCCCTTCTCCATCCCTTGCACCTCAAACCCAAGACTGTCACGATACAGAGAGATGGCGGCTCGGTTGGATTTTCGGACGTGTAGTGTGATGTGGTGGGCGTTGTAGTGGGCTACCATCGCCTCCTCTGTATGACATACGTCAGCTTGACCCCATTGAAGTAGAGTTTGAGAACGTACGAGACTGCTTCATGAGCTTGTTGGCGAGACCTAATCTTCGGTACGGCCTGAGGACGGAGATTGATGTGACGTGTCCGCTAGGCTCCTCGCTGGGCTCTTCCTCCCTACATGATCGGTCAGTATATTGGGCAGGTACTTGTGGGTGGGCACTCACATCTTGGCCAAGATATAGCCGACGATCCTCCCCTTGGGGTCCACAGCCACATAAGACAGTTCGGGCCATGTAAGGGCATGATACAGATCTGTCATCCAAGTCAGCGTCGTCCTCGCAGGCTAATGGTATACTTGCAGTATTTGAAAGTGTAGTTTTCTGGCAGATTGAGCAGGTTGGCATTCTGCATACCGAGCAGGTCGGCAATCTGAGAAGGACGTCAGCAAGAGCCGCAAAGGGCGCGACGGATTACATACAGTTGCTTGGCGGATGTCCATGGCGGAGGGTTCTTGTGGATGTATGAGGAGGCGGTGAGACGGTCACTGGGTATTTGCAGGTCGAAAGTCGTTGAGATGTAGAAGATATACGCAAGGGACGATAATGGAAGCTCGCGGTGAAAGAGACGATGATGTATGCGGACATTACCGCCTCCTCGGCGGATGCCGGTTCTGCAGCCAGCTAGTACACGTTCAACAAAAGCCAGGAAAACAAAATAGAATAAAAATTGCAAACAACTACTGTTCGTCCTCAAGAGGAGTACGGGGGTGAAGAGCTGCGGTATGCATCAAGAAAAAGATCGGCCAAAAAGAAACCAACGGTGGGGATCGAACCCACAATCTCTCGCTAACACGTCTTAATCAGATCATAGGAAGCGAACGCCGTAACCATTTGGCCACGCCGGCTTGCGATGTAAAGTACAGAACGCAGCTCATGTGACCGTGTTTTGGGTAGCGGTCATCAACCAGGTCTGTTGCATCATGAGGATATAGCATTGTCCATTGGGCGATGTGATTCTCCGATTGTGGCCTAGGGGAACTGTTCCCTCCATCGATGTCCTTGCTGACTACCTCATGTGCACAGTCCACGCGTAGATCGCCCCCATCACAGTACCGCAGTAGTTTCACCCAACTTGATGGATGGCGTGCTGGTGTACTCTTTGCCCTCCTCGTGCAACACGCCGCAATGAAAGCTGTTGGGAGGTCGTAGCCTGGTACATACCGCAAGGATGTCTCTGGATTCATGAAAGGATTTGAATGACAAAGGTGTGGAATGGCAGAAAAGATAAAGTCGGTCGTCGTCGGCGTTGGAAACTACCAGGTCTTCAACAGACACAGCGATACATATCTAACCCGAAAAGGCGCTACCAAATGCTCTCCGCTCCACTACATTGCTCCATCTGCGCTATCCCATGCCTTCTTCCCCGCAACGAGCTCCCCCCACCCGAAGCCTCTTTCCTCGCAGACTCTCTCGTTTCTCCAAGCAAACCGTCTGGCGTAGGCGCGACGGGTTGGTTGAACGAATGGTATTGCCTCCGCGTTTCTTCAGGTATCGTCAGTCCCGAACCCTTCCTCCCTCCCACTCCACCAATCTCACCCACATCCAAAGCTTCCCCCTCTCCCGAGCAGACCGGAGCCAAGACAAAGCGCTGCGTACCGATCCATGCATACTGCCTCCTCGCGATTCTCTCCACTATCCGCCAGTCACAGTTCAACAACGCGCAGACGCATGAGGAGAAGATGATGATTGAGTGGAGTTTGCCGAGATGGAGTGGGTCTGGGCCTTGGGCGAGGAAAGGTGATGAGGAGGGTGAAGGAGCGGGAGGGGGGTTGAGCTTGGGGCATTGGAGAGGGCTGGTCAGTCAGAGGGAGAGGTGGGAGATGGAGGGGAAGCATTATCTGGATGCAGGTAAAGTGGTGTTGCGGCGGGATTAGAGCTCACGGGTTTGGTCGAGTGATTTGTTATCCCCATTCGACGTCGGCGAGCCATCTTCGACAGACCCTCTCCCATACTTCCGCCCCCTCCAAACCTCCATCCTAACAACGCTCCCCTACACTATTATCTACTCAATCTCCCACTCCTCTCTCGAAAACCCTGACCTCCCAGACGTGTCCCAACTCACCTCTTCACCAACCAAGACCTTCCCCAAACTACTCAGCCCATCCGCCATCAACGACTTTTTATCCCTCGCTCGCACATGCTCAGATATGTGGCATTACCCTCTATCGTCGAATATCTGGGCTCTCTTGGTACTCGATGATGTTAGGAGGTGAAAAGTGACGACCCTGTCCCGCTGGCGCGCTAACTCTTCTGGTGTCGGGTCTGCTCTTCACCTCTCTGACGCCCTTGACGCTTCGTTCGTCGATCCTATCATCAAATCTCTTGGAGCCAGCCGAGAGGAGGGCGCAGAGTGGAAAGCAAAAGATGTATGGTCATGGTGGAAGTTTGGAAACGGGTGGAAGAGCCGGAGGAGAGTTTGGTATTGTGTTGTCCATGGCTGTGCGACGGCGAGAGACGCTGATTGGTGGTAGAAGCTCAAGAGAGCAGGCAAGAAGCGGGTTCGTATTAGTGTATGCATCATGTCGTAACCTAATCGTACTACGCCAACACTCTAAACGGGGCATCAGTCGAGAGTAAGAAGAGTCAGAGAAGAAGACTCACCCCGACCCAGGCCACCCCGGCAGATCGCGCAAGATGAACACTACAAGCTCGCTCCTCAGCTCTGCCAACGTCAGCTTGTTCATCGAATCATCCAACTCCGCCAGATCCTCCTGATCTTTCAGCTGTAACAGCCCCCTCCCGCCTTCATGCCCCAGCACCCTCTGCTCCCTCGCAAGCACCGTGCTCTTCTTGCCGATTTCGGCCGCTTTTCGCTGCAAGATGTTTCCGAGGGCTTTGTAGACGCTGGTGAGGAGGACGCCGTATACGCGGGGGAGGTCGACGGCCCAGAGATGGTATTCTGCCGAAGAGGGGAGGCCGAGGCGGGATTTGGCGGCGGTTTTGGGGACTTCTTGGGTTTCGACGAGGGAGAGTTGTTGAAGTTCGGCCAGAATGTAACGAGCGTCTCGGAGGGATACCATTGCACAATCACGGATCTTGGGACAGTCAGTACATATCCGAAGGTGAATAATCTGAACGTACGGTGGTTTCGAACGCCTTGTTGGACTTGGTGACGACCGCCAAAACCCTCGCTGCCTTGTCCCCAAGCTTCTCCCTAACCAAATCACCCAACAGACTCTCCCTCATCCTCACACAGATTGCTTCAAACTCGACTCTATACCCCGGATTCGTGCTCCCCTCCCTGACCAGCCATCCCCCATTGCCAACCTGATCTTCAGCAGCGAGTATCGTCAGGTAATGTCGGGCGAGGTCGGGTAGGGAGGATTTGGATGGTGCGGAGATACCGGCGAGCAGGAGGGGGGCGGAAGAGGGGGGGATGGAGGAGATGATGGTGTTGATAGATACGGGATCGTGCGTCCGATCATCCCGCAAAGCCGACGAATCCTGCACACTTCCCTCCAACACCGCCCGCATGACGACACCGGCTCCCTTATTCCACCGATCCTCAGCCGCCTTGACGATCAGCTCATTTCTGATGAACACCCCATACCGATCATAGTTGACTCGCAGGTGGACGTTCTCTTTGAGCGAAAAGTCAAAGTCGTCAATGGGATTGGCGTTTGCGGGCTTGCGTTTCTTTTTGGGGTCGATTTTGGGCTTCTGGATGAGGATGTTGGATACAGCTCGGAGGGAGGTTGCTTCGGTGCGGACGTCGTGGGAGGCTTCGAGGCGGCAGTTTTCGAGGTCGTTGGCGGAGAGGAGGGAGGAGCCTTGCGCAAGGACCATGCGTTTACGATTGGCCTGTGAAGTCATCAGACTGGGTCGCCTTGTTATCTGGGAGAGGTGTACTCACCGCAAAGCGCCGGTCAATCTGATCTGATTCGAGGATCTGAAGTTCAGGCGCAGTACATTCGAGGAAACGGTTGAGGAGAAGGGAGATGATGGTGTTGGTGACGGCTTCCGCTCCTAATCACAAGTGTTAGCTCACCGTCAGCTGCTAATTGAGAGGGTCTCACGGATAGCGTCTGAATCACCACCACAGGCAGATACGATATCTGGAACTCTGAGTTTGCCATAGATCATGAGCTGCTTGACGACTTGTACAGCCTACACCAAATGTCAGTCTAAAGCCAGCCCGATATTCCACAAGGAGTGTGCTCACCACCAGATCCAGCTTCTCGTGCGTTATGGCCAATATTCGCCCCCACCGTAACCGCAACAAACACTCGTCCACATTAAATTCGTACTGCTCATCCTCTCCCGTCTGCTTCACCGATGCTCCATTGGACTGCACAAGATTGTGCTGTAATAATATAAGCAGGGATGCGTTTGTAACGTGTGGCGAGAGACCGGATAGGCGTGCGACTGTGGTGGCTGGTAATCTTCCTCGGTTCAAGAGTGTCGAGGCGACTCGCTGCAATATGTCAGCGTAGAGCGGAATATGGATAAAAGCACTTACTTGAACGATGCTACCAAATGCCTGGGCTACTATGTGTTCACAGAGACGCACGCCTTCCTTGCTGTGCCCGCTCATTTTGGGTAGTGAATGGTATAGGGAGGTCTGAAGTGGAGGTTAATTTTGGCGCTGCAAGAGGTGATAGGGGTGTCACGTGATGCTAGATTTGGTTCCGGGCTGTTTGTTTTGTTTCGCGATGCGCGTCTGACTTCGCACAAACAATAGCAAATACATAGTCAATTCCTGTAAAACGTTATATTCCCTCTCAGTCCAGGTCGAATATGGCCCCAGCACTCCCCCCCGATGGCAAGATACCAGTAAGCAGCCTCCAAATCCCTCGATACGCGCGAGCTGACTCATGCCCTCAGTGCCCCACTCAGCGCCATCTTGTAGAAGAACTCGACGAGCTCGCCTTTGCCCTGGAACCGGCCGAGAAGGAGGATACGTGGGAAAAGTTTGAAAAGGCGATCATACGTTTTGCCGCGGTAGTCAGAGGGGGAGGATACAAGTTTACAGAGACGTTTGTGGAAGGTGTTGGAAGGGGCGGCGTCGGGACGAAGCTTGTAAGATGTGTAAGTCTCCGCTTTGTACAGGAATGGAGGTAAAGGTGGACATCGCTTAAAACAGTACAGATGCTCTCCGACAGAGGCAGACTATCAGGCGTCGCCACGGACCTCCTCCAAACATTCGCCCCCCGTCTATCCACCCACTTCAAACCCCTCACCCACCTCTATCTCGAACCCATCATGACCCTCCTAGGCCGTCCCAACAAGGTATATCTCCGCCGAACTGAAAAATGCCTCGCAACCATCATATCCAACTGTCACCTCCCCGTCATCGTACAAGAGCTACGGAAGGGGCTGGATGATAATGCGGCGGCGTGTAGAAAGGGGTGTGCGGTGGCGATTAATAGGGCATTGCAGGAGTGGCCTTATGAGCTGTGGAATGACAAGTGGTTAAAGGTGCTAGAGGGGTGTATCAAGAAGATGGGGGCGGACAAGGATCCGCAGGTGCGAGAGACGGGGAGAGAAGTGTTGGGTTTGTTTGCGGAGGCGTGGCCGGAGAGAGTCAACGAGTTAGTGATAGTTGTCTTCATTCTTATATATCATACTGACTCGAGGCAGGTTTGCAAGCCCCCTCACTCCGATTACGCGACGAAATCTCAAGATTGACGCCAACGGTGTGACTGCAAAGCCCAAAACTCGCCCCGCCGCTCCAGCTCGCAAGATGCCCCCTCCTCTCACTTCATCCACCGCCTCCTCCTCTTCGGCCCACCCTCCCGCGCCTCATCACAGAGTCCAAGAACTAGGCGGCTCGAGATTCCCCCAGGCACAACAGCCTGCTGCGCCTTCGAGAATATGGTCTGGGGACGAACCTCAGGCGGGGAGATCGACGTACGATCCCAGACCTCCTCGTATCCATGCCGAACCTCTTCCTCTGCCGGAGGTGGAACCGGCCCGTCCTAGAGCTCTCAACACGCTCCCTCCTGTACGCGGTCGTACAGTTTCACACGATTCACTACCCACCTCCTCTTCAACCAACCCGAACCCAAACTCTCTCTTCTCCCCCGTCGACCACCCCCATCAGTCTCAGGGAGTGAAACACAATCCACTATCCAAACCAGTCCGCCCTCCCCTCCCAGCTTCATGGTCCACCTCCGCTCTTCTGCCTCAGGGCGAAGCGGCAAACGCAAAACCGAGGAGGATGGCGCCGCCAGAGAGGATCGTGAAGCCCGTGGTGGAGGAAGAAGATGAAGATGAAGCCGCTGGGTCTGGGGCTGGGTCGAAGGCTGTTGCGAGTGGAGCGTTGAGGGGAGCGGTGAGGCCGGCGGTGGTGAAGAAGAATATGATGGGGCAAGCTACGAGGAGGGTCGTCACTGCTCCTGTCCCTCTGTCGAGCGAGTCGGGTTTGGAAGACCAGCCTCAACAGTCGATAAGACCTCGCCCACAGACTTCTGCAGAGTCATTCTTCTCCCCTGTCCCGTCCCGGGTACTTGAGGGTGAGAAGAAAAGCGTCGAGTCGCCGCTCATGCCGGTGCTCATGCAATCCACGTCGAGCAAGGTGGATGCGGAGGAAATCAAGCCTTCGCAAGAAGAGTCGGAAGGGGTTATCGATATGGAAGAAGATGTCTATCCCGCATCGCCGTCGAAGAGGGGAGATGGCGAGGATGGGAGGAGGGAGGTGGAAGTCGCGAGAGAGATTGCTTTGCCGGATAGTCCGACGTCGGAGAGGAAGAGTGCTGTAGTGGAGGTTGTGGGGAAGCCGACTGGGGATGAGCGGGCTGCGGCAGAAGAGGCTGTTGAGCCTGGGGTCGAGACGAAAGTGGTTTCAGCCGTCGAGGCCGCCATTCAACAAGCTCCTGAACCGACATCAGCTCACGAACCTCCGATCGAATCCGAACCCATACCACCCCCACCCACAGCTCAGCCTACTTCCAATTCCAGTCTCACAGCCAAACCTGCCCGCCCCCCTGCCGCTCCCCAAGCCCAAGCCAAACCCCTCTCTCGCGCACCCTCTCGTCCCGCCCCAGCCGTATCGGGAGCTCAACCCGAACGAAAGGCAGCAGTGGCGGTGCCGAGGAAGCCGCCTGTACCTCGTGCGAGGGTGGCGAGTGGGAGTAAGCCGGTGGTGCCGCTGGTGAGGAAGGCGTTCAAACCTACGAGCGCAGCGAGTGTGGGGAGTGGTGGTGGTCAGGCTTCAGCGCCGGCGCCGGCGCCGGCGGCAGGTGCTGTTAAGAAGGAAGCGGTTGGTGCGGTGAGCAAGCCGGCTGGTGCGGTGAGCAAGCCGGCTGGTGCGGTGAGCAAGCCGGCTGGTGCGGTGAGCAAGCCGGCTGGTGCGGTGAGCAAGCCGGCTGGTGCGGTGAGCAAGCCGGCTGGTGCGGTGAGCAAGCCGGCTGGTGCGGTGAGCAAGCCGGCTGGTGCGGTGAGCAAGCCTGCTGTTGCGAGTGCTTCGGCGAGGGTTGTTTCGGCATCTGGGACGACAGGGAACAAACCCCCAGTCACGACGAAGACATTAGCCCCTCCTCCTGCTCGCCCAGAGCTGGCCAAGGTTTCAAGACCTGAAGAACCTCCAAAACGTACCGTCACCTCCGCACCTATCTCCAAGCCTCCCGCCTCTAGACCACCCGTCACTTCCTCTGCACCGGCTGCCAAAGCTCCCATCGCCTCCAGACCGCGCAAACCCGCCGTCCCGAGCCATGTGGTCCTGTCAGCTGCGAAGAAGGAGAAGATCCGCCTCAAAGCTCCTCTGCCTTCTTTCCGACCTATGCGAGCGAAGAAAGAAGTCAAGCCCGAAACTGTTCCCCTCCCCGACAGTCCGCCCAAAGCCGCTGCTATCCCCCTCCCTCCAAGTCCGCACGATAGTCCGAGCCCGAGAGATCATCCTCTCCCACCATCTCCTCCCAGATCACCGACGCCAAGAGCGCATACGCCTGTGCTGAGCAGGCCTTCGCCTTTGAGGACGGAGATTGCGCGAGGGAGAGGAGGGGCGAATTCGCCTGCTAGGAGTGTTAGGAGTGTGAGGAGCCAGGCGAGTGGGAGGAGTGTACCGGCTAGTCCTGGGGGGGTGGTGTTGGAGAAGGGGAGGCCGGCGAGCCCGCTTTTGACGAAGGGGGAGGGGTTGTTGTTCGACGACGTGGAGGAGAAGGATGAGCGTGCGGAGATTGCTGGGAATGATGGGGTCAAGGAAGAGGGAGGTGAGCAGGTGAATAAGGAAGCGAGCGAGGATGTGGACATCTCTGGATCGGTTTTGGGCAACATGGAGGAGAAGGTTGAGAAGGCTAGAGTGGAGGAGTCCATCCCTCAAGCCGAGGTTGCACCTACCACCGTAGAAGTGACCGAAGACAACTCGGCATCTCGTTCATTCAACACTCCCTCCATCGACGACATACCTTCCTCCTTATCTCCCCCAACCGCCACCCCCTCAGCCCGTACCCCCTCGCCTCTTTCTTCAATCATCAAATCCCCTGCACCTGCATTTGCTACCCGTATAGAAGTATCCACCCCGGGCAAGAGCGCACTGTCGCTTCTGGCGAAGCTGGAGGGTAGAGAGGATGTTGGGACGCCGGAGAAGGAGAGGAAGGCGTTGGCGGTGAAGGATGCGAATGCTGTCGGGACGCCGAAGGTGGTTGGTGGAGGTGGGTTTGAGGGTGATGTGAGCGCCTGAGATGGCGGAGATGGTTGGGGATGACTATAATAGCGTCTGGGGAAGATTTGGTTGACTAGGGAGAGTAGAGTGAGCAGTGTTATAGGGTTTCTTTTACGGACTATGGTCTCGAGATATTAGTTGCTATAGAATGACATGTGCATATTTGTATGATCTCCTGAAACATCTGCTCGTCGGATCAAATACTGGCAACACCGAAGCACACGCAGGCTCTACGTCCGCCGGCTCACGTGTACTCTTACCGTTCGACCGTCGTACTCACCAGGCGCCCATAGAGTCTAGATGTGATCAGCAGTACAAAGTAGGCGACGTACAAGTAGCTGAAAGGATTATTGTTCCGGGGCCGTAAGGGGGCCAGACGCGTTCCCTTGATGCTTAAGACAACTGTGTACACCGGCTGTCCTTTCTCTTGGCACTACAAAGGACAAGTCCAAATATATGCGTATGCCCAACAGTATATATCTGCAGTTTCATTCTCTTCTAACATACAGCACTAGCATACTACGCATTATACATCTCTCGTCTGCGACGATTCTGCAAAACACACCCACATCCGAACCAAACCCGAACCAAACACGCCACCTACCGGACATACGTACCCGCACGCCGAAAACACGATGTACTCTGCGATCCTCGCATTCCTCCCCGCCTCGCTCGATCTCCTATACCACGCCTACCTCCCAGCCTCTTCCGGACCATCCATCGTGTCTACTGTTGTCGGGTATGATCGTCTAGCGGAGGGGAGCTCGATAGGCGGGGAATGGGTGATGGCGGAGAGGGTGACGATTGATATGAGTGGGAGGTGTTGGGCGGGGGAGAAGAGTGTGCATTGTTGTAGTGGACTGGTAGGGAAGGGTGTGAGGTAAGCTGCGCTCTGGATGTGGATTGGCAACAGTCAGGCTTACAAGAATCAGCACGATCATACCGCTCCTCGCATCCTATCAGATCTTCTACGGCCTTCTCGTCTTTTCCCTCGGCCTAGCAGCGACATTCCAATTGATGGCGAGCAGGAAGTCGTTCGAGGTGGAGAGGCTGAAAGAGTTCCGGACATTTGCATTGGGGGTGATGGTGCTGAAAGATTTCGCCTCGGTCTGCGGCGCTGTAAGTCTCCCGCCTCGGTCTCTCCCCCACTGCGTACTGATAGTCAATCAGGTCTTCACAGGCTGCGCGCTGTTGATTGTCCCCCTGATCGAAGACTCTATTCCGGCCGACAACATAGTCGACGTACGAGTCGGGTGGGGGTTCGTCGTCACCGTCTCTATGGCGATTCTCTCGTGCTTTTTCACTTTGGCGTTTGAGAACAACTCGAGGAAGATGTTGACGGACGGAGAACAGTGCGTTTATGACTTGAAGATATAATGGGTTGTGAGCTGATAACGAAGAAGGTCAATCAGGCTTGGAGATGAAGATGTCGCTTATGACGAAGACCCGGAGAAACAGCCTCTCTTGGTGGAGGATGTAGAGTAAGCTAAGATCAACGGCTTCTGTATTTCTGTATAATTATTGTACGGTGGCAGTGATCTATAACGCTTGATGCATAGCCTGTTGTACACTATTGATCTTACAAAAGTACATGCCCGGGCCGACGTCGAGATTAGAGAGGGCGGCTTTGACGGTTGGTGGTGGACGTCGTGTCGGTAGAGACGACAGAGTTGGCGCGGCTTTGCTAGAGCGATATCAGCGCGGAATTAGAAATGAAAGGAGGGTTGACTAACCTGAGAAAGCTCCACACCAGGCGTGGCCATCGGCAAAAGCCCCTCCTTCTGCGCCCTCACCGTCCTCAACTCTTGTTCCACCCTATCCACCTGCCTCTTCATCTCCACCAACGCCGCGCCCGCGCCTAGCAGCCCCTCAAGAACCTCCAGATTCTGTCTCGTCGGCATGACCAGCTTTGTAGCGTTCACCCCGAGCTCGGCGAGGAGCTCTGTCACGCGTATAGCAGCTGTCGGTTTGGGGAGGGGTAGTTTGGAAGAGCGGAGGTAGACGGGGAGGTGGGCTGGGTGTTTGGTGGAGAGGTAGGACGAACCTTGGGGTTCGGCGGGGGTGGGGACGTGGTAGATACAGCGAGCATTGTCGAAAGCCGCGTTTGGTGTTCTCTTCGGCGTGGGCGCAGGCGATGGCGCAAGGTAATCATCATCCGCCTTTCTCTTCTTCTTATTCTTGTCCGCTCCGAATACTCCCTCGATGGTGGCTTGGTCGACGTTGACGAGCCCGCTGTCGAGGCCCATGACTGACCGCATGAGGTCGTCGCGGTCGGCGCGGAATCGACGTTCGTTCTGCTCCATGCGCTTGATCTCGACGTAGAGGGCTTCTTCTTCAGCGATTTCGGCGGCGGTGAGGTGGAATAGTTCGGAGGCGTATTGTTTGCGTTTGATCTCGCGGGCTGGCGGGATGGTCAGTAAGAGGATAAGGGGCGGAGGGCAGGACAAGGAAGGACGGACCTTTGTCAAATTCGTATTGACGGGCGAGCAAGTTTTGGGCGTGGGGGTCGCTGGCTGTGCGTGTTTCCACCAGCCTCTTGCAGATAAAGTAGTACCTCTCCTTCATATCCTGCCAGACCATCAGCCCGAGTCTTGATAAAGCAAAAGTGTGCTCACTTCTACCGACCGCTTTTTCTCTGGACCCATCCCCGTCGGTCCCATATACGCGTACCTATCCGCCGCCACGATAAACCGCAGATCATACTCTTTCAGCAGCTCGAAGAGGTACGCCGTCTCGTGTGGTGTCCAGTTGGGGTCGATGAGGTGTTGGTCGTATTCGTATTGGCTGTATTCCATGGAGGAGGGGCCGTGGTTGTTGAATTTGCCAAAGTATTCGACTGGACAGGGTTAGTACTCAGAACCTAGGGGATTGAGGGGTGGCAAGACGTACCTGATGCTTCTGGGTCAGAGTCGGTGACTCGAGCCCAATGGCCCAGCTTCAAGTTGCCTTCCTCCTGTCGCGCCGCAGGCGTAAATGGCGTCCATTCCCTTCGCAGCGTCAGTATCACCCCACTCCAGCTTATACGGGGCTACTCACCAGTGCACCTTCTTCGACTTGAAAGCAGGCTTCTCCCTATACTTTACAGCAGCGATACTCGCCTGCGCATCCGCGAGTGACGGCGCATTATCGCCAATGAGGGCGTAGAGTTCTCGGGAAATGCCGTCGGGTTTCTTGGGTTGTGGGAGCTTTTTGGGGGCGGGGGGGTGGTGGGATGAGGAGCCGGCTTGGGGGAGGTTGAGGATGGAGCGGACGTCGGAGGATGACATGGTGGTGGATGGAGGGGTGGATGGGCGCGAAGAGAAAGAGGATGATAGAGGAAATGGAAAACAACGGACAGCGGGGAATCTCCGTTTGGGGTTGGGGCGGCGTACGCCGTCGTTTGTCCAAAGGGGGCGATGAGCAAGCGATGAGCGAGCTTCATCTTGACAGACTGCTGGATATTCCAAGTACACGGATCAGCGGTCTAGAGTCTTGGACATATAGCTTCTCTACCAGCTGTACCAGGGAAGGAGCAGAGGCTCAAATTGCTCGTACATCGAGGACGAAAATACGTTCACGCTGAGGCTATGCCTGGTAAACACTGCCGAGTTTTTCCAGCTTGGTCACATTCAAAGCCCAAGTACCCCATCAGCTTGTAGACATCTGGCTCGGAGTGGCGAGCTCGGGGAGTATCAGAATGCATCGTCTCTTCATCGGTCGGCCGCGGCAAAGTGTGGGAGTTGACGGTGCCTCCGTCTCCGCTGATCGTGTGTGTAGTACTGAGTACAGCAGATGTATTTCCATTTCTTCGGATGTGAGATCTGTATATGAATATCGAATGTCCTGTCCCCTGGAGAGAAGAAGCACAATCATCGCCGAGATATGCACAGCAAACACTGGGATAGCGAATCGAAACAGACAGGTGGGGCGACAGAGGCGCGGTGATGTACAGGAGTCGAAGAGTCATCCAGCAAACATCCATTCATGGTCTACGAGATACGATGTGAAGAGGTAGAAGTAAGTCCCGCTCATGAATCATCATATGGCGGGGCCCATGGCCAGTGCTGCGCCATCATCCACATGATACGAATACAGTGATGAGGTTCCGGAGGTCGTTACTGTATCATCCGACTTTACACTACTGCAAGGAGATGTGGAAATCTGGACTAGAACGTATATCCGGTGATATTTGCCAAACGAAATGACCAAAGAAGACAGTCTCTCCGGTCTAGTACGGTGTTTATACACGTTGACGGGCATCCGCAAGTTTATCTCCGCTATTGCGTGGTGGTTTGCACACACATCGCATCTCGCTCTGAGAAGGACGCGGCGTCTGTACGTTTGATTTGGCTGCCCAGCAGATCCTGCGAAGCCGTCGCCCTGCAGCTATGCCAGCGCCGAAGCTGGTTTCTACTGACGTTTCTCGCCATACTCTTACTCCTGGCTGTGGATGAGATGGGTTGATATTACTACGACGAAAGCTACCCAATCTCAGACACATAATGCCAAGTTGGATCACTAGAAGATCAAGGAAACAGGAACAAGCGCGTTGAGCATGAGACACATGCTACCGCCCGAGTCAGCGACGCCTCTTTTTCGAACGTGGTCTCACCGCTTTCTATGGGGCTTGCAGTACATGCACAGCTGCTTTCGAGACAGGGAGAAGTTGCACTTGATCATTCTGGAGAGCGAGCACGAGCATCGCATCGGCAAGTCACATGCAACACCACAAAGCTGATTTTTGTGCGCGCGTCGCCCTCCTCAATTGGCGTTTGGAGATGCCCTCCTCTCCGGAAATATCCAGCTTCCAGTCTGTAAGATGTATCACATGTGATATACTAAGGCAAAGTGCAAGGTAGACGAGAATAGAACGGGTGCAGCAGAGGTCATGGAGAATGAGTGATGACTAGTCTCGCGCAAGTCTTTTCTTTTACCACCACGCTAGAAGCCATCCCTCCACTGATCGCGAGCAATTATGTAAATATTCTGCGTTTTGCAGATGCCGATCGTCACCTTGCTGTGGATGAGTATTTTCAAGGCCGAAGCTCAAAAGACACAGGGCAGAGGCCATTCGCCGACGGGCCGTGAATTTAGATTAGGCAGAGGCGGCGCTGGAGAATGACGTTCGTTGGGCGTAGTGGATAGAACGCTGGATGCTATACCTAAGCATTGGAGAGCACCTGACAAGGAGGTGAGATATACATCTCATGATCGACCACAAGACTTCGCCCTGATCGCAAGAGGAAAAGACATACCCCGAGCGACATCTGGTCGACCTCTCCGGCAGCTGCGAGTCTCTAATCAGCAGCTCGGCATACGAATCTGTAATTTATGGATAGGGCGCATCGTGAGAGGCGTAGAATGTGGTCTCGGAGGCGCTGACTGATCCCTCCAGCGTCTGCTCGTCGTGTCTGTTGGTCAGATTAGAATGTCGACCCATGACCGGTCGGGCACAGCTATCGACCAACTCCACTACGCCCCCGGCAAAGATGAAGACATATAAGCAGACGTCTTGAAGATCATCTCCCTCTCCATCCAGCAACTTCATTGACACTCATCACTCACAAGCACTTTCAACGCTCAACAATTCATCGCAATGCTCCTCACTACTCCCACTGTCCTTCTCGCCGTCGCTTCTTTCGCCGCTGTATCTCAGGGGAGCGTCATCAAGGCTCGAGCCGAGACTCACCAGGTCACTGTACGTAACGCTTTCTCCTCACCGAACTCTTCTGACTTGTATCCCAGCTGGTGAACAACTGCGGCTCCGGTACATCTTTCCTCTTTTCAATCATTGTATCCTAGCTGACACTACGTAGGTAACCCCGTCTTCCTCTACGAGGGTAACGACAAGCAAGGCTCCGGTACTGTCAGCGGACCTCTCAGAGGCGGTGTCGCCTGGATGGACAGCTACGGCGACTGTCAGAGCTCTGGTGTCAACTGCGGCATCGTCGAGTTTACGCTCATCAACGAGAGCAACCTCGACCCCAACGGCAACCCGTACCAGAACTCTGCCGACTACTCTCTCCTCACCGGTGACGGCTTGGGCAACCACCAGTTGTGAGTCTTTCTCTCCTACCTTTGACTTGGTTCAAGCGTTGACGTTGACGGGGTAGCACGTACAACATGAACTTTGACTTCAACGGAGACGGGTGCAACAAGGGCCCGGGTGCTTGTACCGGTAACTCTGCCGCTCAGTGTCCTGGTGCTTACCTTGGCTCTGCCACCGAGGGCGGCGCTCCGACGCAATGCGTTGCTGACAACGTCGGGGTAAGTGCGATCTAGAAGCTCTTTGAGTAGTACTGACATTTGTATAGATCACCATCACCTTCTGCTAAGCGTGGTATCTCGCCAAACCTTTTCATATCGATCAATGTTCTTGTGCAGTGATATTTTGTATGGCGAGGGTTTGTAATTCTACTTGGGCGAAACAGAGAACTGAAAGGTGAAGTCTTCTTGTGATATGCACACGAGTATCATCTGTAACAAACAACATCCGTATCTTGGTCATATCACGCCCATCCTACAGTAGAGCCGTCTCATCCCCATCAACCCTCTCGGTCTCGGATTGACCGGCACCGCTAACAAGACAGTGCTGACGCGATCGTGATGGTCTTGAGAATATGGCGTCTATCATAATCCCAACCTTTCCCTTTACGATCAAGCGCAGCCATCACCATCTACGAGCGCTGTGATCATAATGGAACGACAATACAGCGAGTCTCTTCGTACCAAATGACCGCCGAGACGAAAAGATGCACGAAAACAAAAGACTTTCGCGAGGGCTGTCGTATGGCTCGAGTGGTCATCTCCGCTTCCCCACTGGGGCTCATTCGTATATACAGCAGCTTCTCTGTTCATCAGAGTGCATTTTTGATGATATGAAGCCAGAGAGCTTGCATCTTTGTTGACAGGTGATCACATGCCGAAGTCGGCTACGCGGCTGACATGGGGCTGTCCTCGTGCCATGACCACCGCCTCACCCCCTCTATAGCATCAGTCAACTTAGCACTGCTGAATGACTGATATTAGACATTTAAGACAAGACGCATGATTCTCTGATCATTACCAGAATAGGATTTGCGCGACTCAAGTCAGTCACGGTGTGGAGTGGATTCAGCTTCCGCGCTAGAAGCTATGTTGATGTCGGCTGCCGAGCGTTGCCCAACGGGTCGTGAATGCGGGTGCGAGAGACGTTGCACAGCCGGGACATACAATACAGCATGAGGAGACTGGACCGCATCTCGGGCATCTCGGGAACATTCAGTGAGACGTTGATTGACGCCGGCATGACGGGGTCGCGCTTTTTCAGATCTTCTAGTAGAGTGCCATTTGCCTGATCTATTGTGTCCAAGCGAGGGAAATACATCTTCGGAGGTAGCTTGGCAAATGCCCCCCCACCATAAGGGCGTTATTAGCCAAAGCTTACTAGGCATTTTCGACCTTTTCTCCGCGTGAGGGTCAGGCAAGATGGGTGGGGGAGCGGGGTGGGGAGCGCAGCATGTGACTCTTCTGGTACGTATCAGTCACTTGCCTGGTGCTTCTTTATCTATTCCAGATTCGAGTGCTGATCCATGACCCCAAAACACAGCTTTCGGCCGGGTATACTGAGCCGGCCTTCCAAAGAAAGTGTATAAAGACGACTGTAAACTATGTCTCAACATCATCTCCCCAGCTCTCACCTCCTCTCGAACATCTTTGCACCTTGCGAAACTTGATACACCATGCTCTTCTCCGCCCCCAAGGTCCTTCTCGCCCTCGCTGCTACCACCGCCGCCACCAACGCCAACGTCATCGAGCCTCGAGCTGAGACCCACAACTCAAGGTACGTACATCTCTTCCTTCCCCCAGTGCGAGTCAATCTGACACTGCCCCACTAGTTTGTCAACGAGTGCTACGCTGAAGCTGACAATGTCTAGGTACTCCGGTCTTTTTGTACGAGGGCCACGGCAAACGTGGCGGCGGTACTATCAACGGCGCTCTCAAGGGCGGTGTCGCATGGCTCGACAACTACAAAAACTGCCAGAGCTCCGATGTCAACTGCGGTATCGTTGAGTTCACTCTTATCAATAAGAGTCACAAGGACCCGAACGGCAACTCTTATCAGAACTCTGCCGACTACTCTCTCCTCACCGGGTCGGGCTTGGGCAACCATCAGTTGCGAGTCTTCTTCTTCTTCATTATTAACGATCAAGGATGGATCGTTGACTTTGGGATAGCACATACAAGATGGACTTTAAGTCTAACGGCAGCGGCTGCAACAAGGGTCCTGGCGCTTGTACCGGCAACTCTGCTTCTAAGTGTCCTGGCGCGTACCTCGGCTCTGCTACCACCGGCGGTGCCCCCACTCAATGCGTCGCTGACAATGTCGGGGTGAGTTCATTCTCGATACCTCTATGATTCACGCTGACGTCTGTTTAGATCACCATCACCTTCTGTTGAGCTCGGTGTTTCGCCCTGCCTGATCAGTCGAAGCTTTTGAATGACGAGAGTTTGTAATTCTAGATATGCGAAACAGAGGATGGGTCGATAGGTTCTTGTGATATGTAATCGGTTTTGCTCTGTATCCCTGCTCGCTTTCATGTGCTCGGATCAACGGCACGAAGGGTCTCAAAGGTGCTGTTGAAGACGTCGCATGGAACATCACATCTTTCACCACACATCGCGCATGTCAATACCAGCAGACCGATGTATGCTAGGGTATCTCTTCTCTACGTGAAACACTTGTCAATTAAGCTCCCATGGTGAGGTTGAACAGACAGTGGATCCCATTACGGCTTTCCCCCGTACCATGATGTCACCGCCGAACGCCAATCTTGTACAGACGGACGCGTCGGACGAAGACCCGAACGTCTCTCATCCGGGCTCATGGTATCTATTCATGATCGCCCACTTGCCGTTCAGCTGTAGTCTGACGATGCCACGATAGTGCAATCCTGAAATGAACGGCTCAAAGTTCAGACCATCCATAGTCTGACCTCGGAACAAAGCAGCTCGACGACGACGATGTCGGTCGTCGGATGACCGACAGGAACAAGCGCGGCGTACTTTTGATCAAAGACACATGTTTTCGAGTTACGAGTTTTAGTCGATGGACTTTATTTCTGACTCTGTTATCCATCTGATGGGCACCTAGCCGATAAACATGTATCCGATAGACACAACCAATGGCATCTGCTTGAGGTGGGTGGTAGGCCAGAGTGTATAAAATCCAGCGAAAGAATCGATCACAAGCTCGGGGAGGACTCGGCGGTGTTGCAGCATTCCTCACTGCATGTGCCACTGTAGTTGCAGATGCCGAGCGTGATTCGTGCATGTCAATTGAGCGCGGTACATTGCATGACTTGATGATTTAATGATACGGATTTTACGCTATGGTATGCCGTACGGTCCCATGCGGATTGCGGATCGATAGGCTCGATAGTGCTCGATAAGCGCGATCGGTTTGGGAGATACGTAAGTGGGCGGGACGAGGACGATCGGAGGGGGGGAGGGTGTTCTATCGGGAGTGGGTTGATTTACAACGTTAGAAGATGGTGCACGTTTGCGATATCCTGCAGATTGGCTACTCGGATACCACTTTCAGTTGCGTTCATACTCCATGCGAAAGATTCGGCATCGCCCAGATGAGAGCCGCTCGTAAAGTACGTTTCATTGCCCCAGCGATCCAAAGCGAGTAATGAAGTGTTCAATTCATCTAAGGGGTATAGTAAGGTAGTCCTTCAGACGATATACGACCACATGATCCTCAAACTTTCAGTCTGCCAATGTAAACAGCCGCCAGCGACAATTATTAAGCAACGTTCTTTTTATATCGTAATGCTGCCAGCGTGGGCTGCATTTCTCGTCATTATCAGCTCTATTGCAGTCGATCTGACATAATGTACATAAGAACGGCGTGTTGGGCGTAAGCACAAGGTGTTTTTGACAGACGCGCGCTGGATGTCTTTGTCGAGATATCGAATTGATGGAGGGGGCGTATGATTGGGGAGAGATCTCGTCGGCCGGGTATACTATGCCGAGGCTTGGGAAGAGGTATATAAGAGGTCTTTTTGGAGTAGTATCGTCCTCATCCCCCGCCTCTCCCCCCCCCCAACACGCAGTATCAAGACAAACCATGCTCTTCTCCACTCCCAAATTCCTTCTCGCGCTGTTTGCTACGACTGCTGCTACCAGTGCCAGCGTGATCGAACCTCGAGCTGAGACCCATAACGTCAAGGTACGTCCGAGTCCCTCTCCTGCACCTCTGCGAGATGTTTCTGACTTTTTTTCGCCAGCTTGTCAACAGGTGCGGCTCTGGTACGTCCCCGCCCCTCTCCCCTCCCCCCGCTCTCTTCGCTTTGGTACGGCCGAGGTGACACGGAAACAGGTACACCCGTCTTCCTCTACCAAGGCCACGGCCAACGCGGCGGCGGCACCATCAACGGCGCTTTGCAAGGCGGTATCGCCTGGCTCGACGGGTACAAGAACTGTCAGAGCTCTGGCGTCAATTGCGGGGTGGTAGAGTTTACGTTGATCAATAAGAACCACAAGGCTCCGAACGGGTTTTCGTATCAGAATTCGGCGGATTATTCCTTGCTCGATGGGCCGGGGTTGGGGAACCACAAATAGTGAGTATCTGCAACTTCTTCCTTCGGCGTCGATTTTGAGGGATGGAGAGAGAGAGAGAGAAGAAGCTGATGGAGGGGTAGTCAGTACAAGATGGACTTTGCGTTTAACGGGGCTGGGTGTAACAAGGGGCCGGGGGCGTGTACGGGTAATTCTGCTGCCCAGTGTCCTGGGGCGTATCTCGGCTCTGCTACGACCGGCGGTGCGCCCACTCAGTGCGAAGCTGATAATGTTGGGGTGAGTTTGCTTCCTGTCTGGGTCTTGTTTCTTGGCTGATGTGTGTTAAGATTACTATCACGTTCTGCTGAGCTTGTGATCGCGTCGTATATGCTATAGTAGCTGTGGTCGATAGCGAGTGCTCTGATTCTATAAGTTAGGCGAAAAGGAAGGAAGAAGTCTTTCGATATGCAGAATATGGTTGACCTTCCTCGACGGCTGCATCTCATGCTATACCAACTTTGCAGTGCTATATGGAAAAGACGGGTTGACGGTTGATAGACGCAAGAAGTAGGGAGTACAAAGGAAGACAGCCACGACGTCAGAGGCGGAGATGGCCGGAAGTCCTCGCTCGGGCTCGCGGTTGTCACTTTGTGTGCTCCCCCTAACCCCCCACGCCTCTTCCCTTACCGCCATGTCCCATCCCCCCTCCCGCAACTCGTCCGTCCCCCGCCTCCGCGCCCCTTCCGCCCTCCGCAGCCCCCCCTCCCCCCGCTACTCCACCGCCCCCTCCATCTCCCTCGTCATTGCCCACGGCTCATCCGACACGCCCCGCCCCGCACCTTCCAGCAATCCCGCCCGCTCAGGGTCAGCTAGTGAAGAAGCGCTGTCGAGGCAGCTGGATGGGGCTTCTGGAGGGCGCCATATGGGCTTGAGGAGTCGAAGGAGTAGCACGGCGACGACGGCGACTATGGGTGGTACGAACGGCGGCGAGCGGCAAGAGAGTGGGGGTGTACTGTCAGAAGAGCCGGAAGATATTGGGGATAGGGTGTCGTCGCCGTTGGCAGGACCCTCTTCGCTGCCGCTGCCCATGGGCTCAGAGGGTGGCAAAAGGCAGGCGGATGGGGAAGCTGGCTTGGAGATGGCAGGTGGCGGGAGAGAGTCGATCAAGCGCAAGCTCAACGGCAAGGCCTCCAGCACGTGGCTCAAGTGGTCCTCTGCTACATCGAAACCGCCACCTAATGTGTTGCCTGGAGGGTCCGCGAAGGGGAAGGAGAGAGCTGTCGACGAGGACAAGGGCAATGTACGTACTCCTTTCCTTTCGACCTTGTCCCAGGGACTGACATCTCCATAGCCTGATCAAATCGCTTCGGAACCCCCACCTATCGACGCTCCTACCACATCCGACGCCGACTCACCAATGCACACCCTCCCCCCCACCGACCCCCCGCGTAAAACAGAGCCCTTAGCAGTCCCCAAACCCGCAGATCTCAAACGCACGCCTTCCACCAGATCATCCTCGCCTCTCAAGAATGCTACGCAAGCGCAAAGAGATGAGATTATGCGTACGCGCAAGCCTTCGACAATGGAGAACGGGGAGAAGGGGGACAGAGGCGGGTGGTGGCGGTCGTTGTCGAGGGGGACGAAGGGTTTGGGGGTGGAGAAGGAGAAGGATCAGAAGGCGGGTTCTGGACCGGGAGAGGAGAGTGGGGAGGTGGATAAGCCGGAAGAGGCTCAGCAATCCTCGCCAAAGGCTGATGTACCCGCCCCTCCTTCTGAAGACGACCCTACTCCTATCCCCAGGAGCGATCCCTCCTCCCTCCCGCCCTCCCAGTCCGAATTCGAACCAGCGCCCAAAATTCCAGCTTTTGAACCCCCAGCTCCCGAGCTTGTACCCTCGGCCTCGCCTTCGGCTACTTCTGCGGCTCTACCGCCTTCGCTCGAGCCAGAGTTGAAGCCCACGAACAATGCCCCGTCGGCGTCGTCTGTGACTGCTAGGGGCTGGAAGGACTACTTGAGTTGGTCGAAGGCGAATGCGCCGGGTGTTGAGAGGAAGAGTGTATCAGAGAGTGGGCAAGGTAGTGCACCCAGCGATGAAGGTAAGTCTTCATATTTTGGGCCAGGCAGCAGAGCTGACAGAAGTATAGTCGGTCTCGAACCTCCCTCCGACGAACGCCCCCCCGAGCACGAATCGACTCCCCAAGCGGCCCAACCCCAAGCCCCTTCTACATGGTCCTCCTACTTTTACGCCCTCGTCGCCGAACAAAAGGCTAAAGCCTCTGCTCCCGAAGCTGCCCGGCCCGTAGCGCCTACGGCGGTGGACGAAGAGCAGATGCCCATCCCCGCCCAGCCTACCGACGTTCAAAAACCTCCTCCAGCTTCTGAACCATTCTCAACCCCATTCGCGACACCGTCCTCCCATACTGAGCCCGCTTCCCCTTCTTCATCACCGCTCCGCCCGCCCAATCCGGCGAACGGGAACGGGAACGGGAACGTGTCGAGCAGTAGGCGATCCTCGGCGGCTGGGTGGTTGAATTACCTGGCGTTTAGGGCGAGTGAGAAGAAGGTCGATGCTGGGGCGGGGTCGGGGTCTGTGGATACGGGCACGGAAGAGTCGAGTGTCATGGACTTTTCGAATGATCCCCATTTCCCTGCGGACCCCGCTGCTTCGGGGATCAATCCGAATCAGCTTGCGCCCCCGAGTGGGAAGGAGGCCAGTAGGGGCAGGGAGGGAGGCAGGGAGAGGGAGAGGGGCGGAGGGGCGGTTTCGATCACGCCGAAGGCCTCGCAGAATTTGGAGGTGGCGAGAAAGAGGTTGTCGAGTGCTTCGTCTGTGTCGAATGGGGCGACGGGGTCTGTATCGACTTCTCCGAATCCGAAATCGTCTCAGGCAAGCCCGAATAAGGTGAACAAGAATGGATCTGCTCTTCCTCATCCCCTCCCGCCGAGCGTACAGCCGAACCTCGTCATACCCACCTTCGCTACCACTTTCGACCGCCCTCCGAGATCATTCTTACCCCTCCCTCCTACGTCGCCTCCGTTCTCCCCGACAGCAAAGCAAGAGCAGAAGGGCCTGGCAGCTACGACGACGGGGTATGCTTGGAAAGCGCTTGGAGCGGTGGGGAGTTATGTGTATGGGGAAGCACCGCCCAAGACCACGTCGGAGAGTTTGAAGGAAGATGAAGGAGAGACAAGGGGGAGGGGGGAGGGGAGGAAAGTTGGAGGGGATTTGCCGAGGAGAGTGGGGCTGGGAGTGGGGGGGCCGGATGATGGGTGGAAGAATGTGAGGAGGGTGGTTGTTGTTGGTGTGCATGGGTGGTACGTCTCCTTCCTTCTGTGCGATGTGTGTGGTTGGGGGAAGGGCTGATGGGGTGATAGGTTCCCGGCAAAGATGTTGAATTCTGTTATTGGGGAGCCGACGGGGACGTCGGTCAAGTTTGCGAATATGATGGGGCAGGCTGTCAAGCAGTTTTTCGATGAGAAGGGGGTGGATGATTTGAGGTTGACGCTCATGCCGCTCGAGGGAGAGGGAACGATTGATTCTCGAGTCGACAAGTGAGTTTATCGCTCTTCTATACTCGTACAATACTGACACGGCTATAGGCTGTACAAAGCGTACCTCTCCAATCCTGCTTGGATCAACGACCTCCGCCGCGCCGACGCCATCTTCTTTGCCGCCCACTCTCAAGGCTGCATCGTCACCACCCACCTCATCTCCCGCATGATCGCCCAAGGCCACATCCGCACATCCCACAACGCCGAAGCCGTCTCCCGCTGCGAATGGGCATTCGGCCCCATCGGCGTCGTGCCCCCTTCTTCTTCTTCCCCCCATCGACGACACTCGTACGAACAACATTCTTCCAGTATCCCGGGAGCGGAGGGGGGCAAGCAGAAAGTGGCGATGTTGTCGATGTGCGGGGTGCATCTGGGGCCGCTGTACTCGATAAGCACGTCGAGCGTGATACAGCCGTATTTGCAGTGGTTTGAGAATGCGGCGGCGAGAGAGTTATTTGAGTTTCAGGATACGACTTCGCCGGTTAGTTTGGCGTATCAGAGGGCGTTGGCGATGGTTTTGGAGAATGAGGTGAGAGTGGTATTGTTGGCGTCGTTGAATGATCAGGTTGTGAGTACGGTTTGGGCTTTGGTGGGAGGTTGCTGATGATCAGTAGGTGCCGATATATGGAGCTTCCTTCAGCTGTGCAACCCATCCCCTACTCCTTCGAGCCCTCTACGTCGACGGCGCATCTTATACGCAATCCGACTTTATGACAAACTTGCTTTGTTTCGCCTTCATGTTGAGAAATGCGGGTATCGATGATGAGCGTCTGGTGGAGCATTTGAGCGAGGCGACGGCGGGAGGTCTGACCGGTGAGTCTGCAAAATCCATGTTGAGGACAAGGCTGATCTCGAGATAGGACTCGGCCATTCAACACCTTACGAAGAACTATCCTCCTTCTCCCTCGCCGTCAACTACCTCTTCTACGCCACCCCCGCCCGTAAACCTCTCCCCCCTCTCCAGATCGAGCCCTTCAACGCCCGAGACGCGCGGAACGACTTTGAGCTGCCGTGGATTATGAGGGCGCTTGTGGATGCGCCGGAAGTGAAGGACTTGTTCCCGGGAGAGCTGAAGGATTTGAAAGAGGGGATCGTGCATTGGAAGCCGGTTACAAGGACGTTGAAGGATATCAAGCGACGGGTGAGCATCTCGTGCTTTGGTTGGCGTACGGTGTGGCTGATCAGGATCGTAGCTCGAGCCTATGGCCGGCCGTCAATCTCGTCTTCGCCCTCTACCGAACTCCCCCTCCTCCGCCTCGCTCGTCTCCCAAAACGCTGCCGATCACCATACCGGTACTAGTCCTGTCCATAGCAAGAATCTTACTGCAGGTAAGAAGACCCATCAGGAGGAGGGAGAGGGAATACGCATTCCCTTCTCTTGTAAGCGATTGCGGTGTGGTTGGGCGGACAGGCTGAATTGGGTGTATACGGTTCACGGCAACGGAGATTTTTGCACATTCCTTTATCTGGGGAGCCGACGGGGACGTCGGCTCAAGTCTTTGCCGAATATGAATGGGGCGGGCTTGGTTCAAGCCAGTTCTTGTCGATGAGAAGGGCGGGTGGGATGACTTTGCAGGTTGACGTCACCTTGCCGACTCCGAGGAGAGGCGAACGATTGATTCTCGAGTCCGGACAAGTGAAGTTTATCGCTCTTTCTATACTCGATACAATACCTGACACCGGCTATAGGCTGTACAAGCGTACCTCTCCAATCCTGCTTGGATCAACGACCTCCGCCGCGCCGACGCCATCTTCTTTGCCGCGCCACATCTCAAGGCTGCCATCGTCACTCCGACTACCACACCCCCTCCATCAC